CATACCCTCCCCCCATATATATCCATACCCTCCCCCCATATATACCCATACCCTCCCCCCATATATACCCATAACTTTAACTCTTCCAATTCTCCCAATCAATTCCATACATTTTTATGATTTAATTCTCCCAATTATCCCAAATCAATTCCATGCATTTTTCAAGATTTAATTCTCCCAAATCAATTCCATAACATTTTTAAGATTTAACTCTTCAAATTCTCCCAATCAATTCCATACATTTTTCAAGATTTAATTCTCCCATTTTTCCCAAATCAATTCCATCAATTTTTAAGATTTAATTCTCCCAAATCAATTCCATACATTTTTAAGATTTAACTCTCCCAATTCTCCCAATCAATTCCATACATTTTTATGGTTTAATTCTCCCAATTCTCCCAATCAATTCCATACATTGTTCAAGATTTAATTCTCCCAATTCTCCCAAATCAATTCCATACAGTTTTCAAAATTTCTAAATCTGTTTAGCTTTCAGGGGGTTAATTTATTTGTTGTTTAATTTCTTAGAAAGGGAGTGTTCACGAAAAATGAAAGGGGGTATATGCTTCATGCGATAAAAAAGCACTTTTGATCGCTACTAATCTTACTTCTATCTGTTGCGTCTTTAAGGAGAAAATTGTTCATACAAATTCAGAAAGATGCAACATTCAATTCGGATCGTAAAAAATTTATTTAACTCTAAACAAATCATTCAGATATTGCAAACAATAGTCATCGATTATTTTTCGACACATTCGTAAATAGTTGATATTTCATAATATTTTGTATTTTTCATGATCTGAGAGTTACATTTTTTCCTGTTTCGAGGATTTTTGATAATGAAGACGACATTTTCATATTTTTCAGGAATGTTCGAAAATCCAGCGCCAGCGAAAATTAATTTTAAAAAACAAAGTAAAAAATAATATGAAATTTTAACTATATATGAATGCGTCGAAAAATAACCGATGACTATTGTTTGTAATATCTGAATGATCCGAGTTGAATGTTGAATCTTTCCGAATTTGTATGGGCGCTGCGTTCTTCGGTGTGGGTCGTTTTTAACAATTTTCTCCTTATAGACGCAACAGATAGAAGTAAGATTAGTAGCGATCAAAAGCGCTTTTTTATCGCATTAAGCCTATACCCCATTTCATTTTTCGCGAACACACTCTTTAAAGTGTTTTAAACATTAAGGAAAATTTTGGCAAAAATTGAAAATTCAAGCGATTTAAATAGTTTCAGAGATCGGAACTTTAGCGTGGATATTGTAAACCTTGAACCCTTGATCTCGATACCCAATGTAGACACTTTGGAATTTGAGGATAAATGCTTAATCCACCAATTCAAGTTATCCCTCTAGGGTATGACCACCACGGGATATCAAATTCGAATTAAATAAACGCAGATCTGCAGATATGGAGATCAAAAGTTCTGTCTAGGAATTGGCGCATTCCGGGTTTTTATGAGAACAAGACTCAATTCATTGAGCTCTATTTTCCACTAAAACCAACCAAGGTCGGTTTTATTTGGTATTGGGCCTAACTCCTTAAGTTGAGCCGAAAATCTTGCAGCTGTTAATCACGTGACACAAGCGTTCGTCAGAGTTGGGTCGAAGATTGGGTCTTAAAGTTAGGTTTAAGGAATTACGACTCGAGCCGAAGTTTTTAAATCGTGGGCTCTGAGCTGAAAACTTAAGAATGATGGATATCAAGATTAATGATTAAACTCCTGGTTTTACTAAACCCGAGATTATTTTAAAACGCATTCGATATCCAAGAAAGAAGTTTGAAATTCAACCAATCAGCGTGTCATGTCAAGATGTACTCTTTAGCTTTTGAAAAACTGGTTTTATTTCTGGTGTTGCTATCAATTGAACTAAACATCGATTGAACCAACGTTAGTTTTGGATTAATGTTTTTTAAGACTAACGTGTAAAACCACAGTGGTCCTAAAATGTAATAAATATGTTTTTTAATAAGTTCATATTAACATGGTAAAATTTATATTTGTTTAAATGCTCTAAAAGCCGGCTTGTGAACAGCTGATTTAAATTCAATCGGATATTAATCCAATCGATATAGCATTGTATCTGTAATTCTTATCAAACGTAACTTTTATACAGTATAGGGATATCCAAAAAAGAGGATTAAGAAGAAAACCAGAAGTGTGTCCATTGGATACTCAGATTAAGCGATCGTTATTAAGGATATCTCATTCTGAAGTTTTCAGCTCAGGACCCATACAAAATTGAACTTTTAAGTTTTCACCACCAAAATATAAATCTTAAATCTCAAATAAAATACCATTTATATAAATCTTATAATTTATTTTCAAATGTAACAATTCGGACAGAGAATTTTTAAATGAACAACTTTTATATTAACAATTAACAATTAACAAATTTGACAATAATTTTCAAAACATTTGATTTTTAAAATATCAAATTATAATATTACAAATTTTTAGCAAAAGTTTGATATAAAGCTATGAAAACAATAACAATGCTTTAACATGAATTTGATTTAAAAAATATAAAAGCACTGTAAATATACATAATAAGCTACATTGAGGTTTAATCAATATATTGTGAATAGATCACTGACAAATTAAAGTATTGAGATCAATGCTTAATCTCCTCTTTTTATTAATCCCAAGATTAATTTAAACTTTAGTATCCTAGAAAGTGTATAAAATTCAACCAATCAGAGTGTCTATTGCAGAATCCAAACATCCAATCAGATTGCAGAGAAATTAAAAATTTGTGCGCGCAATCAATGAGAGAATTATGATTGGTTGCAATCCAGCAGGAATATCAAAAAAGAACATTAACAATAAAATAAAAATTTCTACAGTGGATATTTAGATTAAGCGATAAGGATTAAAGGTATCTAATTCTAACGTTTTAGCTCAAAGCTGAACAATTTAAGTTTGTACATATTAAGATCAATGTTTGATTTCACCTTTTTATCAATTGCAAGATTAATTTAAACTTTTCTTTGTAAACAGAAAAGTGTATAAAATTAACCAATCAGGGTGGCGTATGCAAAATTCCGAACAACCGATCAGGAGCACGGAAATTTGAAACTGTGCGGGCCATTTAATGATAGAACTCTCATTGGTCAGAATCCGATAGGGATATCACGGGCAGTCGTAGCCCATTTGAATTTCCGAGCCGCGTCAACCTTTCTGGTCCCATTCTGTACTGTACATAGCTCTATGGACAGGACTAGCTGGTGCAACAAGGTTGACGTGGTCAGACTTTATGCTTCATATAGGTTGAATTTACTTTTACTTTGCGTGCTTTTTAAGAAGAAATCAATGTTTTCAGAACAGACTACAGAACATTACACCAAATTTACATAATCTTCTTTTATAGATATTAATATGAATTGTTAAATGTAAGATACAAAAATTATTCTTATATTGTTTTGAATATGTCTCTTTTTACATGTACTTTACATGTAAAATATTTACATTTGCAAATATATATATATTGTATGTATCTTTATCCACTTTGTCACTTTGTGAATACCACAATTGAAAAAAATCGATTTTTCACATTTATTATTCATACTTGATCCGACAAAGCTTTTAAGGGTACCGTTGTGAGTTGGGCATTGCCGTCTTTTCAGTTGATAGTCACGTGAAATTTCGCGTACAGTCCCTTTAACATCATTGTTTTGCAATGTCTTGTACAGTCCCTTTAACATCATTGGTTTGCAATGTCGTGTACAGTCCCTTTAACATAATTGTTTTGCAATGTCGCGTACAGTCCCGTTAACATCATTGTTTTACAATGTCGCGTACAGTCCCTTTAACATCAGTGTTTTGCAATGTCGTGTACAGTCCCTTTAACATCATTGTTTTGCAATGTCGTGTTTTTTGCTGTGTAAAAATTACACAATGCCAAAACCATGCTGGAGGGTTAAATATGGAGGGGTAGCAGTATAATTTCCGAGCCTCAGAATTAGTAAAAATGACTTCCGAGCCTCTCTTATTCTTGTTTATATCTTTCCTCTGTATTGCATGTCAGTTTTTTATCATTTAATCGAGAAGCTCCAGTATCGTTCTACAAATTATGCGACTAAAAAGCCATTTTGCGTGGCTCGTGGCGGCCAGGCAACCCCTCCTTCGGTTTGGTGGCGATGTCAGTTCATCAATATTTCTTGATGGGTAAGAGGCAGATTGAAGAACAGTTCAGGCAAAGGTTGAAGTATGTATAAAAAAGTACAATGTTGTACAGTAGTGTACATGTGTACACTACTGTACATACAACTGCAAATGTGCAAGTACAGTCATTAGCAAGGTATACAAGTACAGTTGCTTGCTACGTTACAATAGTTTACAAGTGTATATATTACTTTGCAACGGTAGTGTCCACTACCGTACACGTGTACACTCCTGTACATGTAAACACGTCTGTACATGTGTTCACCACTTTACGTTTGTACACTACTGTAAATTTGTACACTACCGTACATGTATCCTCTGATGTACAGGTTATCACTACTGTACATATCTTCTTTTATGTACATATGTTGACAGCTGTGAATATGATGAAGTGCCGTCAGTTTATTGCTCTGAGCTGGTGTCCCTGTAGCAGTTGCTACAAACAGGATATGTACGCATCTGTACGTAAATCAATCATGTTAACTTTGTAATTATTCAAGAGAGAGACCGGCCAGGTAACATATTTGAACTATCCCTTGAAATTAGGTCTACACAAGGATGTAATGCAAGGAAAGTTAATTGCGGTCGCGTATACTCTGCGTACACATTGAAACCAGTTCTCCTTGGGCGGAATTTGTAAACAAGAATAGATGCATCAGTGTACGTTTATTATCCGAGGAGGTTAAAAGCATTAAATTTTGATAATTTTGATAATTCACATAATAGTTTCCTATGACCTGAATATTTCATTGATTTTTTTTTATGTGAAAGATTGGATCCCATGTCAGGCTTTGACATCCGTTGTGTGTTTACATTACCGCCCAGAGACAGTAAACTGCTGTACAAAAGATGTGTACACTTCTGAAATAACTTTCCTTGCATTACATCCTTGGGTCTACACTCCCTGTAAAGGGACTAATTCAAATATTTGATATAAGCATGATTAATGATAATTACTCATCTAAATTTTTGTCAAATAAAGTAAATAAGTATTTTTAATATTTAAACTTTTTGTTTCTTTGCCACTCTCTTTATAAAATGTGAACAACCCCTTTTTTAAAAAATGTGCACAGTCCCTTTTTTACAAAATGTGCACAGTCCCTTTTTTATAAAATGTGCACAGTCCCTTTTTTATAAAATGTGCACAGTCCCTTTTTTACAAAATGTGCACAGTCCCTTTTTTATAAAATGTGCACAGTACCTTTTTTATAAAATGTGCACAGTCCCTTTTTTATAAAATGTGCACAGTCCCTTTTTTATAAAATGTGAACAGTCCCTTTTTTATCTGCAACTTTACCCCAGCACAACATGTTTATAATTCATGCAAATATTTTATTCAGTGAAAAGTTAATGAATAAACAATGAGGACAATTTAGCTAAAAACCTTGTTTAGCCAAAACAACTTAAAATACTATTTTTTTTTCTAGATATATCGCAATTTTTGAGGAGGCATCAAAAAGATAGTTTTGAATACATAAATTTTTAAAAGATTTGAATCAATATCTTTTGACAAAGCTATAATAACTATCTTGTTTTGCGATAAAATTTTAAATTCTTATAAATCAACCGCAAAGGTTCATAAAAACTTGCCTTAAAGGGAGTGACCAGCAATTTATGATAGTTGAACTGAGAATGTTTAATTGTGGAGAAATTTTTTAGGATTCATTTGAGTCAAATTAAAAGTTTTAATGTTGTATAATTACTGAGCTTGAGTGCAAAGTCGACGTTCAAAATCATCCATTTGGGAGGATACGTTTTGAGAATCGATTATTTTTAAATTAGTTCAACAACCATAAATTGCCGGTCACTCCCTTTAAACTCTACCTTTAAACCTTCTAATCCTTATATCTTTGCAATCTGAGCTGTGAGCTCTTGAATTGTAGGAATCGATATCAATGCTTTAACCTTTACACGGTATCCCGTGCAGAGTGGCGTCTTTGGAAAACTGACAGCCAATCAAACCCAAGGAATTTTTTTTATGAGATAAATTGCGGATATCCAAAATTAGGAAATCAAAAGTGTCCACCGTGGATATCCAGATCAAGCGAAAGAGATTATGGGTTTCCAGCACAAAAGATCCCAGCTCTGATAATAATTTAAACCTTGACAATCAAATGTATGTTTAGCACAATTTATAGTTTTAAATAATCAGAAGTTGCAAATAATTAAAAGGTTTGTGTTTTTGAGACAAGTGTTACTTTTAAGATAATTTAAATTAACTCTAAGATTTTATTTGAGTTGAAATACAGTGAGACTCATTCAATTGTGGAAGAGGAAGATATTTAAGTATATTTAAGGAAGAAGACATTTAAGTATATTTAAGTCCTCTTGTGTGTATGTAATATTGTTATAAAGCAAATATTTTTACCAGTAGCTTAATTGAAATTAAACATATTAAGTGAACTGGGTCAGAAAGAACTCTGAACTGAACTGTACTGTACTGTACTGTACTGTACTTTACTGTACTGTACTGTACTGTAGTACTGTACTGTACTGTACTGTACTGTACTGTACTGTACTGTACTGTACTGTACTGTACTGTACTGTACTGTACTGTACTGTACTGTACTGTACTATACTATACGGGTTCCACTGTATAGTTATTAGTAACTATAGTGTCAGACATTTGATCTCCGCCGTTTTTCAACAAAATTTTCAGAAGTTTCACAAATTTCAAAACAGTTTATTCTAAACTTTGAACTCTGAAAGAAGATATTTGCCTGCGCTAACCATAACTCGTTCGTTTGGTTCGTTTTTTACTTTAGTTAATCTTTTAGAAAAAAAGTTCAGAAATTTGTAAAACTTCTTTTGTGGAATCTTTTAAAAGTTTTAAAAAACGATTGAAATAAATGGCTAACACTGATATTAACCCCTCCCTTCGTTTAAAAATTGCGACCCCGTCCTTTAACTTGATATTGTTTTGTACATGATAGATTTCCTGGATAAATTTGACCGGAGATACCGGGATATTCAGGGAGGAACGAGGAGAGGGAGAACCTTCAAATAAATCAAATAGATTCTAATAATTACAATGTAGTCAAACTCAAATAGATTCTAGTAATAGATGGCAACGTAGAATTTGTACACTCTCAGTACAGTTGCATTCTTACGTCACAAGTGTCAATTCAGTTTTTGTGTCCAACAAAATTATTGATAATAGTGATAATTTTAGAATAAAGTGTTTATCTTACAGTAAAATAAATGCAATTTTATGTGTTCTTTAGTTTATGTTTTTACACTTTACAACTTTACAACTTTACAACTGATGTGAGAAAATTTCATTTTCCTTGTTATATTTGACACTTGTGACGTCGTGTTAAATTAGCATTTCTCTGTTACCACCTATTGTACTTAATAATCTATTTGAAATAAAGTATTTATCAGATTCCTTGATTACTTTGGCCACAATTTTTAGTTACATGAAAGTTATTAAACCATAGCAATTAAAAGATTTGTTAAGATTTCCATTTATGAAATAAAATGAAAATAAAAAATGTTTAAATAAATTTTGAATGAATAGAATGAAACCAAAGATAATAGAATCTAAGAATGACATCAGAGATTCTAACTCTAAGAATGACACCAAAGATACTAAATTCAAGAATGACGCCAAAGATACTAAAATATAAGAATGATACCAAAGACTCTAAATCTAAGAATGACACCAAAGACTCTATATCTAAGAATGACACCAAAGGCTCTATATCTAAGAATGACACCGAAAAATATTAAAATTTAAGAACGATCCAAAGATTCTAAATCTAAGAGTGCCAGCAATGACCATTATTACAAGACTGCTACTGCTACCTGATCCAGTAATTAAACTGGCTAGACTAGACTGACTGATATTACTTGACCGTCTTCTTCCATCGCTGATTCAAAAATAAACAATTGACTTCAATTATCTTTAGATTTGGCTTCTGCGCAAATAGAGTAAAATGCCCCACTATTATGCTTAAGTTTGGTCGTCTTTATGTAAATTCATATTTTTGAATATAAAACGACTTGTTCAAATATCTTTTTTTGATTTTTCAACAAAATCTTAGAAAATTCTCTTCAAATTATTTAGTTTATTTGTTTATTTCCTGTTGTTAAATGCTAGAGCATGTCCTGGTAAAACCCGACGTCTGTGCATACACCTAGATAAGAGAATATTAGTTTATTTATCTATATATTTGGCAAAACAAGAGGCCAAATTTAAAGAATTTGAGCCGCGGCTTAAATTTAAGCCGCAGCTCAAATATGGTTGGTTCCACTTAAAATTGTATTAAATTTTTCAAGATTTAGGCCAGCGCTCAATTTAAACCGGTTTTTTGGGGATTTGAGACGCGGCTTAAATTCATTAAATTCGGACAAGGGGCTCTTTATTCTTACCCCCCCTCCCTTTTACCCCTTTCCGCCTATGGTAACCTGCAGAATGCGTAAGTTATGTGGAAGAAAATCTACACTTATATATTTGGCCGCTAGATGACTCTGTTCCAGGATGGAAAGTCATCCTACTTCATTATCTGAACCGCTAGTTTTCCATTATTATAACCTCCTTTGGAGCCATAAGAGGTGAACATATCAAACTCTGATTTTTTAAACCTTATTTCATTTAAAACGTTGATCTTTTAGATTTTCAAAAAAATTGATTGCCTGATGGATAACTGCGCATATGACTAGGTATATCAAAACCAAAGAGAATAGAATATATATTAGAGGGGAAGAGATTCTCTCGGTATGAATTTTTTCAGTTCCTTTCAGCCTGAAAGGGAGTTCAAAGTTTACAAATTATGTAAATGTTCAGAAATTATATTCAGTAGAGTACATTAATACAGTATGTCCACTAGACTATCCATTTCAATTTCGAATTTTTTAAAGCTGTTAAATAAACTTTATAATGAATAAAAACATCATTTGATTTATAGTTATAATGAAAAATCATCCTTTGTAAAGTGAAATGCATAGAGTCTATGTGAAATGATCATTGGTCAATTATAAACCAGCCTATTTCTATAAAATAATATTCCAGGGCCCAAAAGGTTATATAGCATAAATATGTGAGGTATACCTGCAGTATGGAAACAGTACAATAAAATGGCCGTTTTACACTTTTTTCTAGTAAATTCCCCTCTAATTAATATTCTATTCTCTTTGATCAAAACCCACTGGTTGTGAATATTTGAAGACGACCTCTAATCACATTATTGGAAATGTAAAAAGTTGTTTATTACATATGAGTTAATTTAAATTCTTTCAAAACTGAGTTAATCAATTTATAGATTTAAATTTTTACCTTTCACAAAACAACCGTCCACAAGAAGTACAGTTCTTGACAGGAACAGAGTAGGAAATCTAAAATTTTGCACAATTTTTAACAACAAATTTACAGTCATAATTGTGGCAAATATTTATTTGTAATACCTTAATACCACAGGAGCAGTCACTACATTCTCTCCTTGTTTCCCAGAAAATCGCTACAGATGAGATCTCCTAAAAATTTTAGGATTTAAAGGGACACACCACAAATTTAAAAAAGGTAATTAGGACACGGTCAAATTTATTGTTATTATTTTCATTTTGATCATATGATTCTTCTACACATGTATTTAATTTCATATGATTCTTCTACACATGTATTTAATTTCATATGATTCTTCTACACATGTATTTAATTTGTTTGTCTGTTGGGTTGTATTCAATAAACGTTAAAATGACTGAATCGATCGGGCCTACATTTTTATTGGAGACTCTCCTGACTCAATGAAAGGTTAATGCTCGGTCTAAATTTAAAAATATTGCCTACACGGGCAGCGGTAGTACATTTGAATTTCCGAGCTGGGTCAACTTTTCCGGTCCCAGTTTGTACTGTACCGCACGGACATTGGTTTAATAAAGCAGACAATCAACAGGACTAGCTGGTGCAACATGGTTGACGCGGTCAGACTTTATGCTTAATTTACGTTGAATTTACTTTTACTAAAGGGGCAGAGGTGCGTGCCATGTATGAAACATTGTGTACAGACGTTTCTGAAGTTTATAGCTTTGTATTTCTTTAAAAATTTGATTCAACTTTTGTATTGAATCAAGGAAACATAGATTGTATAGTTTATTTATTCATTTATCTATATATATACATATATATATATATATATATTGATAGATATATGAAGTAGTAATCTCTGTTTGTCAGTCTGTTTGTTTGTTATGTATGTCCGATCATAATTCAAGAACCCCATGACCGATTTGCCTCAAATTTAATTGGAAATTCGATAGAACCACTGAAAGTTAAGTTGTAATTATAGATATTTATCTATATCAACATATATCTAGGCAAAGCTGGGTTCCCAAGCTAGTAATATGGATGTAAATAAATCCATAAAAGTTCAAACATCATTCGGTGTAAATAAATATATTGTTCTGTCACTAAATAACAAGATGTCTCAAATTACAAGGTTTATATTTTGAATAACAAAGCATTTTTGTAAGAAAATATTATTCATGTTTTATAACTTTGCAAGATTGCAATTTGCTAAGTAAAAACATAAATATTTGGGTTTTCTTCAATTTTCAGTATTTTTAGAAATAACTTGACCTACCCATTCTATCTGTTCTACTTTGTCCTACTCGTCCTTTCCGTCCTATCCCATCTTACCCGTCCTACCCATCTTACCCGTTCTACTCGTTCTACCCGTCCTACCCGTCCTACCCGTCCTACGTGTCACACTCGTCCAGTCCTACCCGTCCTACTCGTCCTACCTTTCCTACCCGTCCTACCCGTCCTACCCGTGCTGTCCCATCCTAACTGTCCTACATATCCTACATGTCCTAAACGTCCTACATGTCTTACATATCCTTACCGTCCTACTTGTCCTATCCGTCCTACCGGTCCTACTCGTCCTACCCGTCCGCTTGTTCTGCCCATCCTACTCGCCCTACCCGTCCACTGGTTCTGCTCATCCTACTTTTCCTACCCGTGCTGTCCCATCCTAACCGTCCTACCTGTATTATGTTTCCTAACCGTACTACTTTTCCTATCCATCTTACCCGTCCTACCCCTGCCACCCGTCCTTCCCGTCCCTATACCTGCTGTATTTGGTCCAAGGTTAAGGGAATCTCTGATGGAGAAGAGAGAGGTTCAAACGATCTAAACATATTAGTTTTAATATTCTTTATAATATACAGGGTTACCTACAAAGGATTGAAACCTCAAAGACGACTGTTTTTATCTTTGAAAAAAATCATTTAGCATATTATTTGAAGGATAAAAGAACAAATATAACTTTCATATCATTATATGTTATAAGTTTTCGGTCGTCATTAAAGACTCATTCTTTTTGGGTATCACTGAGTATTGGAAAATTATTGAAAATGATTTTGAGACAGAAAAAGAATCAGAAATACTTGATCATATCTTTCAGAGGATGGGGGGTGGGGGATAAAATCTATAATTTCCAGGGAGTTTTCAGGTCTTAAGGCCCTTCTGGAGAGGAATAAATTCAAGCCCCCCCCCCCTTGAAAAAATCCTGAGTACGCCTTTAAGTCACCAGAGGCTGTTCGGGTTCACAAACTGGAGTTTTCAAATTTCTAATTTTTTATCCCAATGAAGTTCCAGAAAGCACAAAAATTTGTAAGTAGTGTTTAAAATGTTTTATTTATTAGTAAATATATTATCATCATTATTATTAATTAAAAACCTTTTTCTATGCAGAGAATATACCACAGGAGATCCTACACTTAGAGTTAAATATGGTGAACAGTCTTCTAGATCTCCAAGCAGATTAAACAGCTCTAAATTATAATTATTATTAATATAATTATTATTATTCTTATTATTATTATTATTATTATTATTATTATTATTATTATTATTATTATTATTATTATCAAACTATTATTATTATTTTTAATATTATCATTATCATTATCATTATCATTATCATTATCATTATCATTATCATTATCATTATCATTATCATTATCATTATCATTATCATTATCATTATCATTATCATTATCATTATCATTATCATTATCATTATCATTATCATTATCATTATCATTATCATTATCATTATCATTATCATTATCATTATCATTATCATTATCATTATCATTATCATTATCATTATCATTATCATTATCATTATCATTATCATTATCATTATCATTATCATTATCATTATCATTATCATTATCATTATCATTATCATTATCATTATCATTATCATTATCATTATCATTATCATTATCATTATCATTATCATTATCATTATCATTATCATTATCATTATCATTATCATTATCATTATCATTATCATTATCATTATCATTATCATTATCATTATCATTATCATTATCATTATCATTATCATTATCATTATCATTATCATTATCATTANTTATTATTATTATTAGTATTATTATTATTATTATCATTATTATTATTATTATTATTATTATTATTACGTTTCATGTTCGTTGGGCGATTTAAAAGCAAAACTTGAGCCTAACCGTCGTCTTTTAAGAGATTTTTAAATTATTTTATTTATAGTTATATGGGTTTTTATGTATTTGATACGTTTTTCCTTCCTTGTTCTCCATGAACGTTGAGAAAGACATTCGAAAAACTGTAACTAGGTACAAAGCGACCTAAACTTGCAACTATACATCTATTTATTAAAGATGTAATCTTTTCATTAGGCTTTCTGTTTGTTTGTTCGGATGAACCCCAAACCGATTTGCCTCAAATTTAGATTGGGGAACTCAGGGAAACCAGGGATATGTTCTCAGTCTGGTCCAATAATTCTAAGTTGAGTGGGTTGATTTTTGTAGAAAAAAAACTTGGTTTCCAGGCAAAGTTGGGTTTCTGCGCGCGCGCTAGTATCCAGATATAAAGATGTCATCTAGCTCCGTTTGTTTATTTGGACGTCCGATTGTAACTCATGAACCCCTTAACCCATTTGCATCAAATTTTGTTGGAGAGCTCAGTAATACTTCAATGTTATTTTGGCCTAACTGACATATTAAATGATTGGAAAAGGAACAAAGTAAAAGTTGAAGGATATTATGTATTTTGAGGAAAAATTGAGATATACAGTCGTTTCTGAAGTCTCATCCTTTGTAGGTAAACCTGAATTTCAAGAGCCCAAAACTTAAGACAGGGCAAGGTTCTAATGCAAGGAAAGTTAATTGCGTTCGCAATACTCTGCGTACATATTGAAACCAGTTCTCTAGATGCATCAGTGTTCGTTTAGTCTTCGAGAAGGTTGAAATCATTTAATTTTGAAAGGCCTTAAAGTGTAAAAACAAGAAACAAGAAGCAAGAAGGAAAAAAGAATTGAACAGAAAAAAGTGGAAGGGAAATCTCTTGACAGTAGAGATGGGGCTTAAAAAAGATAAACAAGAAAGAAGAAGAAAACTTTGAACAGGAAAAATTAGAAGGGGATTTGAGCTTTACACCATCTAATTTTTTTCACCGATAGCGAACAAAGACAAATACACAGGATGGCAGACATCCCATACCCCCTCTTTGTCCTCCTACTTGAGATAAAAAACTGGAAAATGTGTAAAACGCCTCCTTCACCCCTCTCCCCCCCCCTCCCCCCCATCAAGAAAATGTCATTGAAAGTGTGTTATACCTAGGAGCTGACACAGTAACCCAACTTAAGCCAAATTTAAAAACAAACAAGGGAGAGAGTAACCTTGCCACTCTCAANATAGTACATTTACAGCGGTTACACTTGTACAATAGTACATTTACAGCGGTTACACTTGTACAATAGTACATTTACAGCAAGAAAAAATTAAATAAAAACATTTAGCATTCAAACATAAATAATAAACATAAAAAATAACAACAAAAATGTGTAAAAATGCGCAAAGTGCTCTAAATAAATATATTTCAGAATAATAACTATCACAAAATATCACAAGCACACTTAAACATAGAAGAAATTAGACGGATTAAAAATGCATTTTAAGGTAATCTTACTTAATATAATTTTATTAGTTTTAAGTAAAAAGTAATTTAAAGGGACTGTAAGCGTAATTTTAAGTGAACATCTGTGCAAAGATAGCAATGCACGATTTACAACAGTACCCTTAAAAGCTTTGTCTGATCAAGTATGAATTAAATATGAAGGTTTAATTTCTTTAAACTGTTAATTTTCAATTGCGCTTTTTCTGCTAAAGTGACTTGCGCACTTCTTGTTTTTAAGAAGCAAAGCAGAAATTCACACCAATAAACACCTTTCAGGAGAACCGGTGTAAATCGGGCATTGTCATCATTGCATGGATCCACTTGAAATTACGCTTACAGCCCCCTTCAAGTATTGTAAAAGAAGCCAGAAACTTTTTACATCATCAACTTTTTATGAGTCTTTTTAGAAAGCTTAAACTTGTAAATAAAATAACATTTAGATAACTAATACAATTATGTACAATTCCAACACTCACAATGTACAGTGTACAGTGTACGTGAATGGCACAGAACTGTACAGAATGTACATTGTAAAAAAGTTGAGTTGAAAGGGAAGGACGGCCAAGAGTTATGCTTAATGTATTCAGACAGAATAAATGCTTCTGATCTAAGCAAATGGAATATGTTTTGTAAAAGTAGACGGACTTTATTTAGTCTACGTAGGCAGACATTATCTGGTCTACGTAGGCGAACTTAATCTGGTCTAAATACGGACTTTATTTAGTCTACGTAGGCGAACTTAATCTGGTCTAAATACGGACTTTATTTTGTCTACGTAGACGGACTTTAAATGGTCTAAGAAGAAAGACTTTATTTGGTTTAAGTAGACGGACTATAAATTGAGTACGTACGCACTTTATTTGGTCTACGTAGACGGACTTTCTCTTGTTTACGTAGACCGACTTTATTTAGTCTATGCAGACGGACTTTACCTGGTCTACGTAGACAGACTTTTGAATGGTCTAAGTAGACCGATTTTATTTAATCTATGTAGACGGACTTTATCTGGTCTACGTAGACGGACTTTATCTGACCTAAATAGACGAAATTTATCTGGTCTACGTAGACAGACTTTATCTGGTCTACGTAGACAGACTTTATCTGGTCTACGTAGACGGACTTTAACTTGTCTAAGTAGACGGACTTCAATTGGTCTATGAAGACGGACTTTAAATGGTCTACATAGAAGGAATTGATCTGGAATACGTAGACGGAATTTATCTGGTCAACATAATCTGGTAGATTTTAATGCGTTTTTAATTTATGGAATCAAATTAAAGGACACACTTGGCAAGCATGAATTCTTAAAAAATATTTCCAAAATGGCGGCCACTCCCTCAAAACACTAATTGCTTAACTTATCAAATAAAAAAATAGGGGATCGGTATGCTGGCTGTTTTGTACACTTTAAGTACGTAACTTGTACACTGTACACTGCAAGAATGAATAATTGTTACGAAAACATCTAATTTTTAAAATCCTGTAGAACCTTGCAAATTTATCTTCTAGTTTTTAAAGCATGCAAAAAAATTATAAAATAGGTGAAAAATAAATATCAAGTTATTAACATAAAAAACTTCGTTAAATTTGAGTAAATTTTTAATCATCATTTGTAAACATGGATATTAAAGATTACATCCCCCCGGAGACAACAAAAATGTAAATTGAACATTAAAAAGGAAGGGGAAATATTTTTTTCAGAAAATACACACCCCTGTATCTAAATCAGGTTCATGCGGAAAGCAATTTTAGCGGGATAAGTGATGAGTGGTGAAAAGGTGACAGGATTTTAAATAATAATACAAATAATAATAATAATAGTTTTATCACATCTTACTAGATTGACATTTCTCAACCAGGGCAGTCTTCAGATCAACAAACCTTAACAGTTTTATAAGTCTTAAAATAGTTTTATTCCTGATTGACATCGGTTCCATAAAAGTTTAGTCTGATCAAGCATAAGTTAACCATCAATACTTATCAATTTAAAAACTGATTGTGTTCAATTGTGGTAACAAAATTGACTTGGATCAGGAATTATAAAAATTACTCACTTTTAAACCGAGAAAAAAGCCAATATCTTCTACATTATTGATCAGATTCAAGGGTATCGTTATGAATCTGGCTTTGCTATCTTTGCATGAAGGGTCACTTGAAATTACTCTTACAGTCCCTTTAAGGATCAAGTTTGAATGTTTCAGTATTGAATGCTTGAATGTTTGAATGTTTGAATGTTTGAATGTTTGAATGTTTGAATGTTTGAATGTTTAAATGTTTGAATGTTTAAATGTTTGAATGTTTGAATGTTTCTTTGTTTCAATGTTTCCATGTTTCCATGTTTCCATGTTTCCATGTTTTAATGTTTTGATGCTTCAATGTTTCAATGTTTCAATGTTTCAATATTTCAATGTTTCAATATTTCAATGTTTCAATGTTTCAATGTTTCAATGTTTCAATGTTTCAATGTTTCAATTTTTCAATATTTTTTGTTCCATGTTTGAATGTTTGAATGTTTGAATGTTTGAATGTTTGAATGTTTGAATGTTTGAATGTTTGAATGTTTGAATGTTTGAATTGTTTATATCTTTGAATGTTTTAATGTTTGAATTCCTACCTCTTCTCTACTTTATCTAGTTCAGATTCAGTTTCTTCTGTTGAACTTTTTGTTCCTGAACAAAAATAACCAAATTTATTTTTTATTTGAATTTTTTTATTTCACCAAACTGACAGTTCTAAAATACAAAGCGTTGATAAACCATTAAAAATTGAATAGGAAATTTCTTTATCAATTTGATTAAATTCCAAATAAAAATATACAAGTTAGCAAGTCAAACCAAACGATAAAAAAACGTCACGACTCAACACTTGACAATTTTAAGTTATAACTCTTTCTAAAACTCCGGGCTTATCTCAGTAAAAAATAACAATAAACGGTCTAGAACGCAAACAGTGGAGATAGAAGAACGAAATCTTTAAGGATTCGTGTATAGAGTGTACTTTGATGAATCGCTAATGGTACCAAGCACTTGTTAACTATAGGTTTGTTTAAAACTATCTTTAAGGGACTGTAAGCGTTATTTCAAGTGACCCTCCATGGCAATGCCCGATTTACAACGGTACCCGTAAAAACTTTGTCTGATCAAGTATGAATTTATATCAGTGTTTTTGTTTCTTAAACTGTTTTTTTTCATTTGCGGTTTTTCTGCAAAAAAAGACTTGAGCATTTCTTGTTTTTAAGAAGCAATTAAGAAACTCGCAGAAATATACTCTTTTCGAGTCAGAAAACGATGATATCTTCATTATTTCTGATCAGATTAAGGTTCCAAGGATACCGTTGTAAATAGGGCATTGTCATCTTTGCATGAAGGCTCACTTGAAATCACGCTTACAGTCCCTTTACCTAGGTTTGTTTAAAACTACCTGAAGAATTCCTTGGAAAACTAGATGTATTTTCATATTTGCAAATATCTTTGTGGTTAGTTTTATAAACTTTATCATAGTTTTAAGTGTAGTTGGTAAACTCAACCATAGCATAAGCCAGGGTCGCGGGGGGGGGGGAGGAAAATATTTATTTTTATAGATGTCATACTCTTTCCAGAAAAAAAACTTGCGCTAGAAACTCGCAATTAATCGCTCTTACATAAATATTTATATGTTAGCTAGAGTACAGCGGGACTAAAGTGCAGCTTTATGGTGGGAGTAACTATGACTATGACTAATAATATAATCCCGGGCAACGCCTGGCACCCAAAATTTCATGAAAACAGAAATGCTCAAAAGGTTTTGTTTTTGACCTTTTTAGGGCACCAAAACATTCCGTTTACAACCAAAATTCAAAAATGATCTCTATGAACTAATATTCAGTTTGCACTCCCTGTAAATTGATTAGTAACCTGTAACAACTGAAGGAAGAAACTTCTTGACAGCCCCAGATGCTTTAGCACTACTGATTAAACTCCTTAGCCCATCAACTCGTCTGAACAAAATGATTATTTTTTCAGTGTTAATAATAATGTAGCTCTAGGCATAATTTTGAGTAGGCTATGGGGGAGGGATCAGTCCCCTTATTTCGTTTTGAAAAAAAAATTTCAAAAATATTCTGGCTAAAAAAATTGGAATTACAGTATTCATTAAAATTCCATATTGCTACTATACGGCTTTTATCTAGGGAGAGCAGAAGGGAAGAGGGGTAAACATGATGCGATGTTCCCAAGCTATAATTTTTTTAAAGCTGAAATATTTCAGAGTTAACTTAAAAAAAAGGTTGTTGTTTTTTAATATTTGCCATTTTTAACTTACTTTGATAAATGCTTGGCATGATCCTCTAAAGAGGCTGTATGGAGCTGGGTTAGAGTCAGCAGATCTATTATAGGTTCTCGGGGGTGTGTTCCAACTTCAAACCTAGATAGATAGATAGATATATATGGAGCTGGGTTAGGGTCAGTAGATCTATTATAGGTTCTCGGGGGTGTGTTCCAACTTCAAACCTAGATAGATAGATAGATATATATGGAGCTGGGTTAGGGTCAGTAGATCTATTATAGGTTCTCGGGGTGTGTTCCAACTTCAAACCTAGATAGATAGATAGATATATAGATAGATAAATATATATATATATATTGATAGATCTATACATAAATGGCTAGATCTATAGATAGATAGACAGATAGTTGGATAGATAGATAGATAGACAGATAGTTAGATAGATAGATAGAAAATATCAAAAACTGTGACATCTCTGATTACTGCTTTAAAGTTAGACAAGGCTGCGCCCATCTTCTATTTCAACTGTGAACATTTTCTCTTGGAGTATCTACATTGTTAAATATAAACAAACAAAAAAGTTGCGAAAATTATAAAAAAATTGTAGATATTCAAAATTTAATAATAAATCGAATTTTGTTGGAGGCTAGTTTTTGAAATTTTGATCATTCATAAACCTTCCCGTCATGTGAGGTCCCACAAAAAATTTGGGCACGGTCAGCCGTTTACTGGATACAAACAAACACAAAAAAACAATATATTATATAGATAAATAGATATAAATATATAAAGATAAATAGATATTATATGCACAAAAAAATTCATTAAATTACCCCTCAGCAAAAATAATATAATCAACGTTTTATACTAGTTATCTTATTGGGAAAACATTATTATTGTACTATATACACCCCTGAAATAATTCCACGCTGACCTGCAGTAGAAGCCCCGCCAGAAATGAATATTCTGTGGAGATGTGCTGGGATTCAGAATATCAGGTTTACTATACATCAAACAACATTAATCATTTAGAAAAAATGAAAGAATGAATTAATGAATGAAGGATAAATGAATAACTGAATGAATAGATGAATAAATGAATAAAAGGATGAAAGAATGAATGACTGACTGACTGAATGAAAACATTAATTAATGAGTGAATAAATGAATAAATGAATAAATCACTTATTAAAGGAATAAATGAATGAGTAAATAAATAAATGAATGAATAAATATGAATAAATTAATGAATTAAATAAATAAATAATGAAAAGAAGAATTTAAGGGTAATTAAAAAAATAAATAAATAAATAAATAAATAAAGGGATGAATGAATGAATGAATGAATGTCCCTGGATGAATCGAATAATGGATTTATAAACTCGTCTGCTGTATTTGTCAGATGACCCCAAAGTGAGTATGTTCTCTCTGCTAACCGATAATCCTGAAAAAAAATATTTAATGTTCACTTTTTTTCCAATTTTTAAGAATATTGAATTTTAAATTCAAGCAAACCTTCGTTTAAAGAGACTATTGTACGATTCACAACGGTATCCTCTTAGATTTGGTTTCTTCTAGTTTTTTAACAGACAAATTACCATTTTCAATTTCTATAAAATAAGCAATTTGCACAATTTTGGCAGCAGAAAAAGATAAGATATTGACAGAATGTATCTCTTTTAAAGATACCAACTGTGAATCAGACATGTAACTCGTTAACTAAAAGGTCGTACTAAAATTACGTCTACAGTCCCTATAAGGTTGTATTTAGCAGTTTTGAAGAATAATTAATAAAATATAAACAAAAAAATAAAGAAAAAAAAATGTGTTCACCTCTCGGTCCTTAGCGCAGTTGCCGAGGAATGTTCCAAACTGACAACTGTACACGTGGTCGTGGATAGTTAACAGGTACTTAGCGTTGAACTGGAATGCCTAAACAGTGAACAGTCCCTTTCTAATTCTTTCCTTTAACTGTGGAATCGGAAGACGACAGTTATGATTTAATGAACATGAAACACAGACGTTATGCAAATGTACATTGTACATGTACATGTACATTGTACATGTACATGTACATTGTACATAGACCCATTTCACTTAAAAAAGTTGATTTTGAAGCTACTGGTACAACATACACTTGTTCAAATGTCGTCTTCATTTTCCACGGTTTCATGCACATACATTGCTTTTCAGTTATTATGCATTTTATTTATAATGATCAAACATTTTTAGCATTTTTTAACATCCACATTTGACCAAATAAGGTTAATATTTTTTATTTTGGGTGGAAAAGTTTGTGAACATGAATTACATGTTTAAATATTATTATAATCTAATTAAAAAACGATTCAAATGAAAAAATTAGTTTTGTAGCAGCATAAATAATATTTTTTTTCCTTCAATGCTTTATTTATTGATGTACTTTAAGCAAAGTATAAATTGAAAATTCACAAAATTATGATGTAGTCATTTCAAACTCAAACAGTTTCTAGTACAATAGATGGCAACGTAGAATTTGTACACTCTCAGTACACCTGTATTCTTACGTCACAAGTGTCAATTCAGTTTTTGTTTCCGACAAAATTATCAATGATCGTGATAATTTTAGATTGAAGTGCTCATCTTTTAATAAAATAAATGCGATTTTATGAGTTCTTCATTTTCTGTTTTTACTTTTTTTTATTCAATCTTGGAAAACATGTCAACTTATGTGAGAAAATTTTATTTTCCTTGTTATATTTGACACTTGTGACGTCGTGTATAATTGGTTCATTTCTCTGTTGCTACCTATTGTACTTGACAATCTATTTGGCCAAACTCGGTATTGACTGAGAGAGAAAGTGATCATGATTTCTGTGCTACGACTTAGGCTTCACTTCTTTTTATTTTATGAACAAGTACAGAGCGTCACATATCATATTAATCTTTAAGCTTTAACGCCAAAATAAACACATAATACTCGAAAATCATAGCAATTTTTGCAATTTTTATTTATTTTAGCCGTATTCAATTATTCAAAAAAGTTCAAACTTCTTAAATTTTCTGATTAGTCCTGAAAATCGTAATTTAGACACCCTGTATAAAAAGCTAAGTTATTTTGTGACTTATTAGAAACTGAAAACATATTAGTTCTTCTGAAAACGTGATAAATTTCAATTTAATATTTATTTTAATTTTACGGAAAAAAAGGCACAAGTGCGAAATATTCTTAAAATAAAATTTTTTATTTAAAAATAAGTAACTTTGTTTAATCATCATTCTGTTTTTGCCCTGTAATGTTAGTTTTGATTATATTTTGAGGGAGGGGAGAGGCTTTGGGTTGGATGGAATATTTAATTCTTTAGGGAGAGAACCCTAGTTCGTTTTACTTTTAAGGGTTTTGGATTAAACTATCATTTGATCCGTTTGTTAGTCCGGTCATGCAAATATCTTCTCTTGTATGAATAATATACTTCGAAAAATGTATTGGCGCAGAATTTCTTCTAGAAGTATTTTTTTCCTCTCTCTCAGGGTTAAAATCTTAAGCAAATGTTCAGAAAAAAGCCCAGTTTTTAACATTTGTGGAACCTTTCATGAGTTTAAGTTGTAAAAACGAAAGAAATGAAATGGCCAACACTACTAGTTGGTTTATCAAATATAAATATTGATGAATACACTTGGTTTACGGAATACGCATGAGTTTTGGTGTGAACTGACCTGCGGGAATTGCGTAAGTATTTGCCAGGTTGCGTCAATGAACTGCGTAAATATCGGGGAAACCTCCTTAGGGTCACCTGAACAATATTTAAATAAATTATCTATATAATTAAACAAAACATTCATATGTTCCCTATAGCCGGCAAAACGGCTGGACCGAATAGGCTCGACACTCATGGGTAGCCTGGGGGTGACATAGGCTAAAAAAATTCGAATTTTTTTTCTTCGTTTTTTGTTTTAAATAGATATTTTATACTTTTTTGGAAATTATGCTTTGGTATAATTAATTCTAGTCGAGACTACAGTAGACTGTAGAGTGTACACGTAATCAATTCTAGTCGAGACTACAGTAGACTGTAGAGTGTACACGCAATTTTAAATGATCCTCCATTGATAAAGGGGATTATCCGATTCACAACGGTACCGTTAAAAGCTTTGTCTCATCAAGAATAAATTAGACATCTATGCGCATTTCTTGAGTAAAAAACAACTGACAAATGATTAGAATTGAATTTCAAGCCAAAATTATTGATCATTGGTTGTTAAGAGCTCGATATAAGAATCAATTGTCTATCTGTCTAGCTGCCTATCTTTCACTCTGTAGCTTTGTAACTCCAGGGTGGCCAAAACTTTTTTGAACCCATCCGTACAAAAATCCGTACATTTCCAGAAGAAATCCGTACAATCCGTACAATTTTCGAAAAACAATCCGTACAATCCGTACAATTTTTTTTAAAAAATCCGTACAATCCGTACATTTTTTTAAACCAATCCGTACATTTTTTTAAAGATCCGTACATTTTTTTAAAAAATCTGTACAATCAGCACAATTTTCGAAAAAAATCCCATTTTTGAAAAAAAAACNGATCAGGATCAAGATCAGGATCAAGATCAGGATCAAGATCAGGATCAAGATCAGGATCAAGATCAGGATCAAGATCAGGATCAAGATCAGGATCAAGATCAGGATCAAGATCAGGATCAAGATCAGGATCAAGATCAGGATCAAGATCAGGATCAAGATCAGGATCAAGATCAGGATCAAGATCAGGATCAAGATCAGGATCAAGATCAGGATCAAGATCAGGATCAAGATCAGGATCAAGATCAGGATCAAGATCAGGATCAAGATCAGGATCAAGATCAGGATCAGGATCAAGGTCAAGATCAAGATCAGGATCAAGACGTAAACTACCTGAATTGTTCTGTAGAAAGGATCAATGAGTATCTGGGCTATGGCACAGGTCTGGCTTGTTCTGTAAATATAAGATGATCAATCATAATATCAGCTCAACCAATTCAGATACTCCCCAAACTCAGTGATTATTCTAAATTAGGTCTTAAAATTGTTTGAAATCAAACATCAATCAATCAATCAAAACATTAGATGACAAAATCATAACATTTTAAAGACATTAACATTTTATAAATTCGTTAACAGAAATTAATTTTATAGACAAACAAACAAACAAAAAAATAAACAAATAAACAATTGAACAAACAAACAAACAAATAAACAAACAAACAAATAAACAAGCTATCAACCATCATTCCCTAGACTGAAAAAAAAAATCAATAAAAGTGAAAATATTCAAGATTAAGACATTTCATTGACAGAAAAATGTATAATTTCTATTTCTAAAAGTATGATTATTAGATTGACAGAAAAGGGATGTACAGGCGCGTAGTGAAGGTGGTGCTAGGGGGGGTGCACTTTTGGCGAATTTTTTTTGTACACCCCCTAACGGTTGATGTGCACCCCCCTAAAAAACCGGTATTAAGGAAAAATAAAGTTTAAAATCTATATTAATCTACCTGAAGACTGACTATTAGTCATCTGACCATAATTACCAATCATTTTAAATGAAACCCCGCGAAAAAATATTGTAAATAAGATTAAGGTACAAGAAATAATTTGAGAAATAATCATAAAATGGACAAATTGTGACATTGTCGATAAGAAAAGTAAAAAAGCTGAATACATATATGTAAGTTTACTGTTTAATAAATTAGAGCCTGCCTCTGGCTCTAGGAGGGCCTAGGGGGGGCACAGGGGTACCGGCCCCCATCCACTACGCGCCTGGGTATGTATAATGTTTATTGTTTATGTAGTAAAACCGTCTCCGTGCTGATGATTAATGTATCTGCGAAGGTCGACTACAAATTCCAAAACATATTGCAAATTAGCAACAAAAAAAGGATGAACTGTTACCTGTCCCACCCGTCGGAACAATGAACCACCACAGATATTCCGTTTAGTAAGGACTAAAACAAACAAAAATTAGCTGGAAAAATCATTCATTTATTTTATCAACAAACTCACGGACTAATACAAATTCATAATAATTGAGCATATTGGAATCACTTTCAATAATATAAATAACTGATACCAGACATGATATGAGACCATTAATGTTATTTATTAATTTAATTGATTTATAAAGTAACTAGATGAGGTGCCCGGCGTTGCCCAGATTACTCATATTTACTCCCGCGGTATACCCGCGCTTGGTCTAACATTATTATTAGTTGAGCTGAAGTGCCCTGCGTTGCCCGTGAAATTTCAATAAATTCAAAATGTTTCAGCCTATGTCCCCCCCAGGGTACCCATGGGCTCTCTCAAAACATTTCAGCCTATTTAGTCCAGTGGTTTGGCCAGCTATAGCTAACATATAAATGAAATAGATCTAGCTCAATTGCCCGGCCAATTTTAGAAGCACTTTGATATTTAAACAAAAAAATAAGATTTTTGAAAAAAAAAGTTTTTTTGCCTATGTGAAAACATTCAAGCATTTTGATCTAGCCGTTTAGCGAGCTATAGCTAACATATATATATATACTTCAGCACTTCAGCTAGTATCACATGACCAGAACTCCCATTAGTGGAAGTTCTGGTCACATGATACAGACATATTTGTTATATTATCAATTATATCTACTAAAAATGAAAAATTATTAAATTCAAATAATNCTTTATCATATAGAATATTTAAACCTCTGCTATGAAGATGGATTCTTCTAGATCATGTATAAATGAGCGAATAGCTTTATCATATAGAATATCTAAACCTCTGCTATGAAGATGGATGCTTCTAGAACTGCTTTGATATGCTTTAACCATCCTGACTGCTCTAATCCCTGATAAATAAAACTTTAAAATCATTGAGCAATATTTAAAGTATGTTACATTTTAAATTAATAAAAAAAATAATTAACGGGAGTGTTCGCGAAAAATGAAAGGGGTTATAGGCTTCATGCGATAAAAAAGCGCTTTTGATCGCTATGAAATATCAACTATTTACGAATGCGCCGAAAAATAATCGATGACTATTGTTTGTAATATATGAATGATTTGTTTGGAAATAAATTGATTTGTTTACAATCCGAGTTGAATGTTGCATCTTTCTAAATTTGTATGGACACTACGTTCTTCGGTATTAGTCTTTTTTAACAATTTTCTTCTTATAGACGCAACAGATAGAAGTAAGATTAGTAGCGATCAAAAGCGCTTTTTTATCTCATTAAGCATATACCCCCTTTCATTTTTCGCGAACACTCCCTTTAAAGATAAAATTTTGATTTAGGTAGTTAATTTTTGACTTTAGATAAATAAGAAAAAGAAAAAAGGCGAATGACCAAATTTTGACGAAGATTTATCAAATAAATGAATAAATGATTAAATAAATGAAATATGAACGAACAAACGAAAAAACAATGAATGCATTAATGAATTAATAAAAGAATGAATGAAAGAATGAATGAAAGGCTGAATAAATGAATGAATGAATGACCTGTAGAAAAAGTTGAATAGTTTCAGTCTTAAGTTCACATGTTTCCACTAGTTTGGACAAACTGTCTCTCATTATATGTATATTCTCTATACCCTAGATAAATATGTTCATATTAAATTAAATATATATTTTTAGACCAGCTTGGACAAACTGTCTCTCATAATATGTATATTCTCTATACCCTAGATAAATATGTTCATATTAATTTAAATATATATGTTTAGACAAGCTTGGACAAACTGTCTCTCATGATATGTATATTCTCTATACCCTAGATAAAAATATTCATATTAATTTAAAATTATATGTTTAGACTAGTTTGGAAACCCAGCTTTGTCTGGTAAATAAACTTCTGGTGTAAAAGTCAACCCACTCAACTTAAGAACCAAACAAGAAAATTTCGAGGTTCCCTAAACAAAATTTAAGGCAAAATCGGTCGACAGGGGTTCATGAGTTATGATCGGAATCACAATCAAACTAACAGACAAACAGAGAGATTACTACTTTACATATAAAGATAGATAGATACCTTGAAAACAAACTTCGTGTTGGGATAAAATGCTTCTGCCTCGTAACCTTTTCCAGCCGCCCTAAACATATCATTTTTAATAGTATTATTATTTACTAGAAATTCAAGGCGCTTCGCGCCCTTCTTTCTAGCCTTAGAGGGCGCTTCGCGCCCATCTTCTAAATTAATTGTGAGCATGTTCTCTTTGTGTACATCGTAAAACAAAACAAAAATAATTCGCGGATTTTCACAAAAAATTTCGTGGATTTTAAATTTTAAAAAATTTAATGACGATCGAATTTTGATGGAGACAAATATTTAAATTTTTTGATAACCTTCCCTGGAGTCCCTAGATGTCCCACCAAAAAATTTGGGCCCGATCGGTTCAGCCGTTTTGACGTTAATTGGATACAAACAAACAAACAGACAAACAGACAGACAGACAAGCCAAATTTATATATAGATATCAGTGTAAGTGGTAATGCTGATCCGCTCTACTGCCCATCCGTCCTATTGCCCATCCGCGATACTGCCCATCCGACCTGCTGCAACATCTGACCTACGACAGCTGTAGGTCGGATGGGCATATCTTCTTGCCCATCCGACCTATCAGCAGCTTTTGTCATATGCCTATAGCGCAGTAGGGTANGTGTAGTGTAGTGTAGTGTAGTGTAGTGTAGTGTAGTGTAGTGTAGTGTAGTGTAGTGTAGTGTAGTGTAGTGTAGTGTAGTGTAGTGTAGTGTAGTGTAGTGTAGTGTAGTGTAGTGTAGTGTAGTGTAGTGTAGTGTAGTGTAGTGTAGTGTAGTGTAGTGTAGTGTAGTGTAGTGTAGTGTAGTGTAGTGTAGTGTAGTGTAGTGTAGTGTAGTGTAGTGTAGTGTAGTGTAGTGTAGTGTAGTGTAGTGTAGTGTAGTGTAGTGTAGTGTAGTGTAGTGTAGTGTAGTGTAGTGTAGTGTAGTGTAGTGTAGTGTAGTGTAGTGTAGTGTAGTGTAGTGTAGTGTAGTGTAGTGTAGTGTAGTGTAGTGTAGTGTAGCGGTCTAGTTTCTAAAATATACATGACTAGTGTACTGTACTGCACCTGTTGTACATGGCGTTTATCTTTGGTCTGGTATCTACAATATACAGGACTAGTGTAAAGTACTGTACCTGTTGTACATGGCGTTTATCTATGGTCTGGTATCTACAATATACAGGACTAGTGTACAGTACTGTACTTGTTGTACATGGCGTTTATCTTTTGTCTGGTATCTACAATACACAGGACTAGTGTACAGTACTGTACCTGTTGTACATGGCGTTTATCTTTGGTCTGGTATCTACAATATACAGGAATAGTGTACAGTACTGTACCTGTTGTACATGGCGTTTATCTTTGGTCTGGTATCTACAATATACAGGACTAGTGTACTGCAATGTACCTGTTGTACATGGCGTATATCTTTAGTCTGGTATCTACAATATACAGGACTAGTGTACTGCACTGTACCTGTTGTACATGGCGTTTATCTTTGGTCTGGTATCTAAACTATACAGGACTAGTGTACTGTACTGTACCTGTTGTACATGGCGTTTATCTTTGGTCTGGTATCTACAATATACAGGAACTTGGAGGCAGTGTTAGATTCAAGAATACAGTTTATAAACTGCTCATCCTCACTACTTCGACCTAAAACCAATCAATTATAAATCAATTAATTCAATCAATTAATTCAATCAATTAATTCAATCAATTAATTCAATCAATTAATTCAATCAATTAATTCAATCAATTAATTCAATTAATTAATTCAATCAATTATTTCAATTAATTTATGAAATTAGTCGCAAAAATAAGTCAGTCAATTAATTCAATTAGTCAAATCAGTCAAATCAGTAAATCAATTCAATATGTCAATAAGTCGGTCAGTCAGTCAGTCAATCTATTAGTCGAATTAATTAATCCATTAAAATTAAAATTAAAACTTAATTAAAATTTTCTAAAATAACTGAAAAGGTACAATTGATGAGACCCAATGTGTTGTAAAGGTTTGTAAACATAATTTAAAGTGACCCTCTTTTTAAAAAGGAAGGCATGTCCGGTTTACAACGGTATCCTTTAAAGCTTTCTCATGTAAAGTATGAATTAGATATCCATTGATCAGATAAAGGTTGCAAGGGTACAGTTGTGAATCAGGAGGGTCACATGAAATTTCGACATCAGTCTCTTCAAGCTCCCACCTTTAATGCCGGATAGAGGTTGAGCACAGCGAAGTAGAGCTGCACTTGTCTGCGCGTGGTAGTAGGTTAACACAGGTAGACGACCTTTAGATCTAGACATAGGAATATACAGGTAAACTGCAGATATAAATGCTCGAAACATTATTGTTAGAACAGTTTAACAATTAAACTGTGAAGTGCGCAGTATATCATGTAGGTGTAGATAAAAGAGGGTTGTAAAATGTTGAGGTAACATTTATGACTGTCCATGCGTTTCTAGCAGTACATTTTTGCTGCAGATACCATTGCTAGAAACGATGTTATTTAAAATATATTAATCCAGTAAGGGTTAACCAGCAAACGGTGGATTTCTTGTCTTCTCAATAGTTTTTGCTACAAATCCATTTTTAATCTATTTAGGTGCTTAGAAGAAAGAACTTTTGGGTTCTGAATCTTGGGACCAAGCATTGATCTCCGTCTTATACAGATCAAAGGATTAATTTAATCAACAACATGAATAAATCAAGATTAACATTATTCAACCCTAAAGTTCCCACCACTGAACCTTTCTAGAGAACAGTTGCAACATATGTAATTTACAAAATCGGTAGAATTTCTACAGTGAATGTTATTAATATTATACGGTTTCTACAGTTTATAGAATATACGGTTTCAACAGTTTATAGAATATACAGTTTCTACAGTGTGTGCAATGTAAAGTTTCTACAGTGTTTGCAACTCACAGTGTCTACAGTGTGTAAAATGAACAGTTTCTACAGTGTATACAATGCACAGTTTCTACCGTGTGTGCAATGTACAGTTTCTACAGTGTTTACAATGCACAGTTTCTACCGTGTGTGCAATGTACAGTTTCTACAGCGTGTAAAATGCACAGTTTCTATAGTGTATACAATGTACAGTTTCTACAGTGTGTACAATGTATAGTTTCTAGTGTGTACAATGTACAGTTTCTACAGTGTGTACAATGTACCTGAATTTGGCAGATCCTTGAACTATAAGTGTAGAGGCAGATGATGGAACCATTAATAACCGTGGATATGTCGGACATAATCTGAATAGCTATAGATAATGTTTATATAGCTAAGGTTTAGATAATGTTTATACAGCTAAGGTATAGATGTACATGAGTCAATCTGGCTATAAGGAAGCCTAACCCTGGCAAAATCAAAAAAATCAAATCAAATCAATTCGAAAGTTATCACATGGAATCGAATGGAATCGAATCAAAAAAAATCCTTCCAAATATGAATCATTGAATATCAATCAATCAATCAGCCTTTTAGGGACGCCTTATGACCACATCGCAATCCAACCACATCTGTATGTTTTAAGCTTGGATTGAAAAAGGGTTTACAATTCGCAGATGAAATTTTTAAGGTCTTTTTTATTAGAAAATTTAAGTTGTTTACAACTTTGGCTATTATAATATTTAAGAAACTGGGGCAAAAAATGTCATGAAAGAAGCCCAAAATAGTGTATCAAACAATTATACCTGTACTCGTTGTTAAGTGAACAGGGTGTCCAATGTTTACTGTGCACCCCTTGTCTCTGGAACTCAGCAGACAGCTCGAAAAATGTCCACCCTGTAGGCTGGGGTAGATCATTCTAGAAAAATCATTTTATAAACTTTTCAAAGTTACATAACTAAACCGTAAATTGAGTATGGTATTAGTGCCCGTAAATATTTTTTATTTATACCTTAGCTCTATACTGGAAACAGTAAATAAACCTTAGCTCTATACTGAAAACAGTAAACATACCTTAGCTCTATACTGGAAACAGTAAACATACCTTAGCTCTATACTGGAAACAGTAAACATACCTTAGCTCTATACTGGAAACAGTAAAGGTCTTCAAGAGAACTAGGTTTAGAGAGCTGAGCCAAGCTTGTGTAGATATCCTACACAAATATAATTAAATTATCAAATACAATTTAAAAAAAAATCTCTTTAAATCTTTATCTGATTAAAAATCTGAAAAATGACAGTTTTCTTATTTAAAACTTTAAATTAATTACATTTCAATTGAAAAAAATCAGTTTTCAAAGTTGAAAGCATTAATGTATGATTCGTCTTCATGATACGGCTTTTAAGGGTACTGTTGCAATCGGACATTTCCCTCTACATAGCATAATTTAAATAAAGAAGAAGAATAATTTACCTACCCCCCCGGCCCCCCCCTACCCTGGATTTATAAATGATTAAATAAATGAAAGAATGAATGAATAAATGAAAGAATGAATAAATAAATGAATGAATAAATAAATGAATGAATAAATGAATGAATGAATAAATGAATGAAAGGATGAATGAATAAATGAATGAAAGGATGAATGAATAAATGAATGAAAGGATGAATAAAATGAAAAAATGAATGAATGAATGAATAAATAAATAAATAAATAAATAAATGAATGAATGAATGAATAAATGAATGAATAAATGAATGAATGAATAAATGAATGAAGGAATGAATAAATGAATGAATGAACGAATGAACAAATAGATGAATAAAAGGATGAATGAATGAATAAATGAATGAATAAATGAATGAATGAATGAATGAATGAATGAATGAATGAATGAATAACCTGTGCATCTCTATCTCTATTAACCATGAATGTCACTACCCGGAAGTTGCTGCACTGTATCCTAATTATTAAAACTATTAAATCCAAGTGTCCTGTATCTGAATCAAATTTTTATGGTAATCGTACCCAGTCAGGGGTTTAAGGAAACTTTGATCATGAAGGGAAAAACTAAATTGAAGATACATAAAGGAATAGTCTAAAATTAAGTGGATATCGAGATCAAGCGATGTCAAGTTAAGCCAAGAATCGTAAAGATCAGATTTACTGAATTTCAAGTAGCAGTTAGGGTTAAATGTATAAATAAAAAATAAATAATTATAAGATCTGAAAAGGAACCCGACATGGAACCCCCAGACTGCCCTCAGGGTGCAGAGCATCGGTTATAGTGTATAAACTATAAAAATGTACGCTAATCCTTTACTGATGTATAGGCCAGGAACTACACCGAGAACGTACTGCATATTTGATTATTATAGTGTAGTTTAGCCCATAATAACCTTCTGCCATTTATTTTTAAACATACGTGTACAGTCCAGCTATTTAGGCTGGCAGGAAGACAACTATCAACCCTCTGGTGAAACCACATTTAACAAAATTTATTGTGGAATATGAAGACGACTTTTAGACTTAAAAAGTCCAATAAACATGAACCAGAGCCATTGGGCAATGTGTACATTACAAACCATTTCACTTAATCAGTGATTATTTAGCTAGAACAGTAAAACTTCTTGCGCTGTAACAGCATCCAACACCAATATTGCTTCACTGTCGTCTTCCTATTCCTCAGTTTCTGGTTATCACTGTATTACCTAACAGGGGACCCTGAAGTAGTTAATGGCAGTTTATCCACACTGCTGATATGCATATGAAGGATCCATAACTCCTCCTAATAGCAATAACAATAACAATAACAATAACAATAAAAATACAATAACAATCATAATAATAATGACACAAGATTTTTAACTTGCTTGATCCTTAGTGAAGCCCTATCGATCCTGAATAACCTCGGCTAGCCCCTTAAACCTCTAATTGACCTCTTTTGACCCCTGATAACCCTAATTAATCTCTACTGATTTAAAATTCGGTGATCGTGATGGACCAAACCTCTGTAGAGTAAAAAAGTAGATGTTAGTATTAAAAACAAACTGATAGATAATCTCTACTGCTTCCTGATGACCTTACATGATCTCTAATGCCCCTTAAACCTATAGTTGACCTATTTTGACTCCTAATAATATAAATGTTCCCTATTGACCACTAAAATCCTAAGCGACCTCTTTTGACCCATGATGACCCTAAATGACCTCCTTTGCCCCTAATTTATGTCTACTGCCCCATGTTCACCCTAACTGACCTCTACTTCCCCCTGTTGACCCTAAATGACCTCTAATGCCCCCTGTTGACCCGTAATGACCTCATTTGACCCCTGATAACCCTAATTAATCTCTATTGTCCCTGATGACCTAAAATGATATTTACTGCCCCTTGTTAACCATAAATGACCTCTATTGACCCCTGATGACCCTACATGACCTCTTTGACCCCTAATGATCTACTGCCCCCTGGTGTACCTTGTCCTCTGGTGATACGAAGATAAGGTGTGTAGTTGTGATATAGAGAGTTCCTACAGTAGAGTTCCGGGGGTTGATATTATCCAATAAATGGACATTCTCCACCTAGATAGATAGAAGATAGATAGATAGATATAGATAGATAGATAGAAGATAGATAGATAAGAGTTCCGGGGGTTAATATTATCCAATAAATGGACATTCTCCACCTAGATAGATAGAAGATAGATAGATAAGAGTTCCGGGGGTTAATATTATCCAATAAATGGACATTCTCCACCTAGATAGATACTATAGTTAGATAGATAGATAGATAGATAGGTAGAGTTCCGGGGGTTGATATTATCCAATAAATGGACATTCTCCACATAGATACTATAGTTAGATAGATAGATAGATAGATAGGTAGAGTTCCGGGGGTTGATATTATCCAATAAATGGACATTCTCCACCTAGATAGATAGATAGATATATAGTTAGATAGATAGATAGATAGATAGATAGATATTAGATAGAAATATGGATACATAAATAGATAGAAGGATAAATAGATAGATATTTATTTGGAATATATTATTACCTTAGGTGTGGCAATGTGTTCCATCTTCATAGATTTTAGAGTTTCAGCTTAATACAATTCATCTCTAGGTAATAATATAAATTATAACATTTTTTAAATTCCATAATTAATCACACGCCATCTTAAAATTTTAATCAAACGCCATCTTGAATTTAAATTAAACGTCATCTTAAAATTTAAATCAAATGCCATCCTAAAATTTAAAAAAAAAAGCGCCATCTTGAAATTTTAATAAAGCGCCATCTTGAATTTAAATATTTAATTCTAAGTTTACCTGAACTAATAGCTTGTCGCCGTATTAAAGTATTCCATATTGAATATAATATCTGAAATCATACATACATATTCAGACATGATGCAGTATAGGTAACATGTTTTACACAATTGACACATGTTTTTAAATATTTAATAAACAAGCTGCTAATCTTGTGTACAGAGTACAGTTTGCAGGATCCTTATGTACGACAAACACAAGTTACTGTAAAGTGTACACTTTACAGTTCACAAAAGTCTTATGTACTGTGTACACTATACACAATACAGTGTTCAATGCACAAGAGTTCCATTACAGTGTACAATGTACAATTTAAAGAAGGCTTATGTACAGTGTACACAATTACACAATTTACTTTACGGTGTACATTGTACAGTTAAGAGGTCTGTGCACTGTACAGTTTAAAGTTAACCATTTAAATCTCTTTAAATAAAATACAATCAAGGCACTTGCTTAGTATTTCTTATCGGAAGAAGAGGAAATATATCACATGAAAACTATTTAGAAAAATTTACTTATTCTGAAAAACAAAAAAAAGGGGGGGGGGGGGGGGGTCAACAATAATTTTGTGGGAAAAATGTTTGTTTAAGTTTAAATATATAAATATATAATATTTAAATATAAATAATGTCTAATGTCTAAAAGTTAGGACGGATACAACTATATATGCTTAAGGCACTAGTCTCTAAAAAATATATCAATATATAGTGACAGTTTGCAATATAAACCAACCTTAAAGGGCAAGTTGGACTTCAAGCAGAAAAGGCTTTGAAATGAATCACAGAAAATAGTTTGGTTTGGCACGATATTCATTGATTAGTTGATTGATTGATTGATTATCATAACATCGATCCATTTCTACAATTTTTGATCACATATAATTTAAATTTTACATTTGAGGCTGCTAGCAGTTTACAACAGTTAGTTTAAAGAGACAGACAGCAAAATTACAGGTAACCCTCCATTGATAGTGTCATATCAGATTTGCAACAGTACCTTGTTAACCACAGTTTTACCCTTCACGAGGGAGATATCCAGATTTTTCTAGTGTAAAATTTGGTGCCGGGAACCTAAAGTATTGAATGGTTCTAAAAGAAAGTCAATTTTCGGCTAGAAACACGAGAATACCTCGGACTTCTATGAAAGGATACCGTTGTGAATCGGACATGGCATTCTACAAATGGAGGGTGACTTGAAATGACATCTACAGTCTCTTAAAGGACCTCAGGCGACATTAGTACAATAAATTTAGAAAATTGCTAAAAATCTCCTTTCAAACCAAGACAATTCTTTTAATTTAATTTCCAATCCCATATCTTAATAATATTTAGATGGATTTGATTTGAAGAAAAAAGGATGTTTTTATACAATGTACAGCACATACAGTTGTAACAAGCTTATCACTCATTAATTAAATTTCTCCCAAAGTTTAAAGATAATTTTTTACCTTTTAAAGATAACCGAAATTCGATCTAAATCTACTTTTCAAAAACAAACTTGCAAAATAGGTTAGTTTTAAACGAAATTTTAAAGCGGGAACCAGCGCCCCGAAATCTTACCTTTATTTTTAACTAGAATTAAATAACAATTGCACCTAATTTAATATATTGCTTTATATCTACCATTGCTTTCTATCTACCATTGCTTATTGCCAACAACAACTAATTGCCCAAAGGAAAATTACAACTAATTGCCATCTACCAGATTTCCATATATTGCCTCGTTACCATGGTTGATCAATTGCTACCCACCGTAAAAATATCTATTGCCAGACTTAAACATATGTTGTTTGCCAGCTGCATCTGGTAAATGGCAATAAGTATCTTGAAGATCAATCTAATTGCCACCTGCTGTAGATTAATTAATTGCGCTGATTATCATAATTTCTTTAGTCACAATTTTGTAAATATTCAAGTTTTTAACACTCTGACGTCACATTTGTCTCCTCAGCATCGTCGACGTCAGTGACAATTATTGTCTCGACGTCACCGACCTCCCCACTCATGTCGTTGACGTTCGTTAAGTGCTCCAGACTAACATCACTTAAATCATTTGTCGGAGTGGCGTCTTTCTGCGGTGATACCTCTGTAGGATCGGTGGGGCTTGAATCGTCCAAGTTGGACGAATCGTCCAGGTTGGACGAATGGGCGAGTGATATATCCCCAAGGTGGTTTGAGATCTCCTGAAGAGCAGGTAAAGAGTCCCATTTAGAACCATCATCGGACACAACATCTATAGAGTCTGAACCCAGGGAGATATAACTCTCAGGACGGGATTTAGATCTAGAAATAACCAGAGATAAATAAATAAACATAGATAGCTTATGTACGCAAAATCACCAAGAATTGTACAGTCCGCGAAATCATACTTCTAGGGGTCAAAGTGTAGTTCAATGATAAGTGGGGTGGTTTGGTGTTTTAATAAGAGTGTAAAATAACTCCAGGAATGGAACTATTTGAACAACAATATTTCACTGAGCAATATATCATATTGACGGGAACTAAAGAAGGACATGAGAAGGACTAAACTAACTTAAATTTCTCTCTTCAGAACTCATGTACACCACAAGTACTCAATGACATAAGAACAGCCAATGTTCACAACCGACCTAGTTAATCTATATAATAGGAATATCTTCAAAACATCTCTGTACATTTATATCCTTCAAGATGAAAAATGTCGTCTTATGCGCAATCTATCTTTATCTATGGAAATAACTCTCAATATCTATTTAAATATTTTTGGTGACTCTCATCACCCGAAGGCTAGGTTTGAAGCCGAGAGACGATAAATTTTGACTCAATGGATTTTTAACAAATTATGAAAATGTATTAATAAAAACACGAAGTAGAAATATCAGTCAGGTTTCATTTTTGAAAAAAAAATTTCTAGGTTTTTTTCAGAGATTTTTAATGGACAATCTTTTCCGAAGAAAATTATTTTATGAATTGAAGGTTCAAATCTTAATACTTTTTAATATATGATATAGTTTTTTTAATGCAAGGGGAAAGAAGGTGTTTTCACCATCTTAGACGTTTACAGACCGAATCACAGAAAAATAAACTTCGAGAAATTTACCACTCAGACAGGGCTTTATATTTTTTCCTAAAAAGTCACTCCCCCCCACTCTTCTTTTCTATATAATTTCTTTTCCCAAGCTATTAAGTTTGGGCGGAGCAAAACTACTGAGTTTGGGAAATTAAATGAATTTTTGGTTTAAAAATATTTTTTTTAAAAACAGTCAATACCTGTCAATATCTCTGACCCTCGCAGCTACCAGGGTCTCAGAGCGCATCCAGGCTGAGTAATCCTGAGCACTGCTCCGAGGAGTCTCCTCATTCATCATACCTGACATTATTATATCATCATTATCAATATTATTATTATCAATATTTTCATTTCTTTCAGCATGATTATTATCAGTATTATCATTATTATCATCATCGATATTTTCATTATTATCATCATTATTATCGTCATCAATATTAGCATTAATTTTATAGTTAATTTTATCATAATAATCATTATCATTATAATTATTATTGTCATTATTAACATTGTTATCATTATCATTATTATCATTATTATCATTACTATAATTATCATCATTATTTTTTATTATTATCATCATTATTTTTTATTATTATCATAGGATAAAATCGCACCCTGATCTCTAATAGTTCTCCTCTTAAATCTGTTTAATTGAAATTTTTTGTGATCATTTTTAAAGTTAGGTGAAAAAAATAAAATAATTATCTATTTGTAAATTGTAAACTCGTTTTGTATACATTCGTATATATGTATGGGTTCATGTATGTATGGGTTCATGTATGTATGGGTTCATGTATGTATGTATGTATGTATGTATGTATGTATGTATGTATGTATGTATGTATGTATGTATGTATGTATGTATGTATGTATGTATGTATGTGCGTACTCATGGGCATTGGGTACCCTGTGGGTTACAAAGGCTAAAAAATCAATTTTTTTGAATATTCGATTTAAAAAAAAAATTACGGGGAACGCCGGGCACTTCAGCTAGTCATTAATATTATGATCATTATTTATGTTATCATTATTATTTGTATCATAATCATTAGAATTATTAGTATTATTAGAATTATTAGTATTATCATTATTATTTATGTTCCTTAAGGTTTGTGTAATCTGTTATGAAATAGGCAAAGTTAGAATAATACCATGGATAAATATGTAGGTTATAATTTATAAATAAAGATCTGACCTAGAAGTGTTCTAAGGCTGGACTTGAGGGATTCTGTGATATTAAGTAATCGGTCGGTGGGAGGCGATGCTAGTCTAGTTCTCCCATCTCCACTCTCTTCCTCAACCTGGAGTATAATATTGAGTAAACTGTAGGAGATGCTCGCCTAGTTCTCCACTCTCCTCATCAACCTGGAGTATAATATTGTGTTAACTGTAGGAGATGCTAGCCTAGTTCTCCACTCTCCTCTTCAACCTGGAGTATAATATTGAGTAAACTGTAGAAGATGCTAGCCTAGTTCTCCACGAGTCTCCTCATCAACCTGGAGTATAATATTGAGTAAACTGTAGGAGATGCTAGCCTAGTTCTCCACTCTCCTCTTCAACCTGGAGTATAATATTGAGTAAACTGTAGAAGATGCTAGCCTAGTTCTCCACTCTCCTCATCAACATGGAGTATAATATTGAGTAAACTGTAGAAGATGCTAGCCTAGTTCTCCACTCTCCTCATCAACCTGGAGTATAATATTGAGTAAACTGTAGAAGATGCTAGCCTAGTTCTCCACTCTCCTCATCAACCTGGAGTATAATATTGAGTAAACTGTAGGACTAAAGTATGTGAATCTCCGGTACAAGCATATATCTCCATGTTATGGAGACCTGCAGATTAATTTAGTTCTTAATCAAACCTTGGTGAACACACCATGCAGTGACAACTTAAATTTAGAGATCAAGCATAATCCTCAAATATCTGTGTGCCAACATTAGATATCGCAATAAAGCGCTCAAGCTTACAGAGAAGTTCCAACCTCTGGTGCCTCTAGAGTCTGGAGGCATTAAACGTGTCATAACAGAATAATCATCTCATGATCATGGTTAAAAGTAAGAACAGAAAAAATCTAATCTTAATAGATGAATAATAACCTGTAAAGCTTCTGATATATATCTATCCAATCCGTCAACCTGAGTCATGGCGGTCAGAATAACATCTTTTGGCTCCTACAAATCAATCAATCAATTTTTTAAATAACCAATTAAACAATAAATCAATAAATTAATCAATTAATCAACCCATCAATGAAACAATTAATCATCAATCATTCAATCTATCAATCTATAAATCCATAAATCTATCAATCTATCAATCTGTCAATCTTTCAATCTATCAATCTTTCAATCTATATTTCCATCAATCTAGAAATTATTCAATATAGATATCACTCAATCTATCAAACAATCTACCAATCAATCAGCAAATCAGCCAACCAATCAATCAATCAAACATTCATTTAATTTATTTTTTAAATCATAATTCCATTTCAAATCATTAAAAGTAGAAAATCTTTATTTACATGGACTTTCAAGCTTTTATATCAAATCTTTTTGTTGTTATTCCAAATCCCCCAGAAAGGTGTCAAGCGCTAAGAATCCCTGATGCAAATAAGCTTACCGATTTCTCTGCATCATGTTGAGCAATATCGATGATACTATCGTATTCCTCGGGTGGGATATTAAATATATCTGCGATAATTCTCTGTTTCTCTTCGAGGGCTCGAGTTATCTCCTCGTCCTTCTCCGCTAGTTTAGCAATCTTCTGTTCAACACTATCCTCCGTCTATATTATAGAGGTTAAAAGAGACTCTTCACGAAATTTCATAACAGGCAGAAGCCCAAGGAAGTTACGAGCGCATGCCGCTTTGAATTATAAGACACAGAGAGAGAGAGACTGTTCTAGTCGCGGCGCTAGGCCCCCTAGCCTGTCCTAGCCGCAGCTCTCGGGCTAGAAAGTTTACAAACCTAACACAACCTATACAACTCTCTCTCTTCTTGTAATTCAACGCGGCAAGTGCATATCCAATTCACAACGGTACCATTTAATCCTTTGTCTGAGAAAAAAGTTGGAAGGTATTCTTTTTTTATTAATCGTTATGATGATATTTTTCAATTGTAAGTAATGTAATTGACAGTAAGGACAAGGATTTCTTCCTTGTCCTTACTAAAAGATGGAAAAACCATAATATCATTTTTACACGGATAGAGATTTTAAGTATGTACGTTTTTCATTTTTTTTTTTTTTTTAAGCATCAACATCAAAAATGCAACGCCGTTTATGTTTAATATTGTAGATAACTTTAACAAATTAACAGTAAAAATCCTCTCTATAAATCAAAATGATTAAGATACAAAAAGTGTGAGTATTACCTCTATATCAAGAGGAGGCGGGCTAGGTAAGGGGCGGAACTGAATCGAATCCTTTCTGCCCATTAGGTTTTCATTAAAGCTCTGAGATCTGTTTGTCGTCTTTGATTTGTCCTCGGTGGGGGATTCAAACGCTCCCCGCGACCCATTGGAGAAGGACGACATATTGGTCATACTCGTGGTGGCGCGGAACTTTGAGTCACGTGACTTGAATGCCGCGGTCACTTCATTGATATGCGCCATCCACGTTCGGGCCTCGGAAGACGAAGAAGTCACAAGCTCGTTCAGTTGGGCATCCGAGTGGGTCGTGTTTATCACATAGAAAGCTCGTTTGTTTGTGGCGTTGGGGCGGGCCAACAGGTTGGAGAATTTTATGACAGGAGCGTGGATTCGGCGGGCCTCTTCCCGACCAGTTGCAGGCGCCACGGAACCGGCTCCAGAATGGAATTTAAGTAGAAATTTTTCATCCTGAAACATTGGTGAAATTGAATATTTGGAATAAGATCTGTTAAGAATTGCTTTTCATTGAAAGTTTTTTCTCAAGGCTTAGAAACTATGAAAGCAAGTTTATCAAATACATTAACGGAATATAATGTTGCAAGTTTATCAAATACATTAACGGAATATAATGTTGCAAGTTTATCAAATACATTAACGGAATATAATGTTGCAAGACTTCATAAAGAATAAATAAGAACAATTTTGTAATGATTTTTAAAACTACCCAGCAACCTTAAGATGTACAAATAAGAAGATTACACCTAAGTTATGTTCCTTAAGGAAATTGAAACTCCGATGTGAGACAGCTGATAGCAAAAAATCCAGACAACATTGATTTTATTTACAAGTACATCTAATTTTTCCCAAATACATCTTGGCAATGAAGATATCCAAATAAGTGTAAATAAACATAACATATGAGAGCGAGAATACAGACCTGTTTTTGTAAGAACATGATACAATCCTCTAGAAGTAGAACATGAAGAACAATCTGTTTAGTTCTCTTGTTCTCTCCTCCCAGGTTCAGGGTTAACAAACCATCAAAGAACAGTTTATGTTGAGTCAAGTCAAGCGACCTTCAAGATAATAAATCTATCAATCAATCAACATCTGTCTATAAACCAACCAATAAACTAATCAAAAAATCTACCTATCAAACAGGAATTTATTTAACCAATCAATCAATCAATCTAACATAAAAAAAATATATTTTACCAACCAGTAAAATAACATATCAATCAATCTACCAATCAACTAATAAATCAATCAATTTATCATAAAAGAATCCAAACAGGCAATCAATCAATCAGTCAACCATATAAGAATTTATTCAACCAACCAATATATCAATAAATCAAACAATCTACCAAATAGGAATTCAACCAATCAATCTATTATATCGGAATTTATTTTACAATCAACTTATCAATTAATCTACCATATAGGAATTCATATAATCAACCATGTAGAAATTAATTCATCTTATCAACCTATCAACCAATCAATCAATCTATTATATCAGAATTTATTTAACCAATCAATGAATCAATCAATAAGAATTTATTTTACCAATCAACAACTAATCAATCAATCTAACATATAGGAATTTATTCAACCAACCAATAAATCAATTAATCAATCTATGATATAAGAATTCATCCAGTCAATCAGTCTACTATATTGGAATCCATTCAACCAATCTATCAATCATATAGAAATGTATTCAATCAATAAATTAATAATTACCTGTATTCTTTACAAATAGGATCATCAACTCCCATTTTCTCTAATCCTGAAGTATCTAGGTTCCGCTGAATATCCACCAACTTCTGACTGTTCTGTGCCATGGCGACCAGTTTATCAATTGTATCTAGGATCTCTCGACTTCGTTTCATAACAGTCATCACCTAAACACAAAAATATTGTCAACATTAACAATAATAATTTTTTGTTGCATAGAATATCTTAAAACTGAGAAAGAAACGATTTATAGATTGAAGGGACTGTAACCGTAATTTCAAGTGACCCTTAATAAAAAGCTGGCAATGCCCGATTTCCAGGGGAAAATCCTTTCTCAAGAATGTGGAAGATATTGTCGTTTTCTATATTTAAAAATGTTGAATTCTGATAATATTATATATATATATTTACTCTAGAGCAAATGCGCAATTCACTTTTGAAGGAAAACAAAAATTGCAAATTATCAGGTTTAAAATTAAAAACATTAAACTCTAATTCATTCTTAACCAGAAAAAAAATCTTTAAGGGTACCGTTGTGAACCGGACATGGAGGGTCAAAGTTGCAGAAAATATTCAAAACTGATTGTTGAACCATAACGTCCCGAGCTTGGTGTAAAAAAAATAAATCAGGCGTTAAAGGAAGTGTTCGCGAAAAATAAACGGGGGTACAAGCGAAACCCAAATTAAATTTAAAATCAAAGGGTATCACTGTTTTTTTCTTTCTAATGTTAGAGAAAATTGCAACAGCAAAAAATACTAATAATCTCACCACATCATAGTCGTCTTTGTCTCGGGTTTGATCACAGTGTTTCGCTATTTGTTCTACGCAAAACACTTTTATTTTAATACAAAAAGAAGGAACTGTAATCTTGACAATAATATTTTATTCTTCAAACCCCAATCATCTCATTTATTTTTGCAGTAAGCTAAAATTCGCACAAAAACAATAGCATACTGCAAAATTAACGTTTTTTAAGGAGGGGGGTCAGTTAACTTTTTGTTCTGTATTAGCAAAAAAATCCTCAACAAAAAACAACAAATAGCAAAAAAAATAATGATGTCTCAAATAGTTCAAGTTTAGCAAAAACAAAACACCAAAAATGGCTTACTGGAAAATATATATTTATTATTATTATTATTATTAATAAAAGGACTTGATTACGAAATAGTGTTTACGTTCCTAGCAGTAAAGGATATTTGACAAGGCGTTGGTTTTCAACTGGTAAAAGGCTTTGTAGTTGAAGGCGACGACATTCAGGGCGCTTCTCCTGTAGTTAACATTCAAACAATAATTTCAAGGGAGAAAAGCAGTATGCAATGTAAAATTAATTAATTTAAAATTAACTATTACTAAAAGTAAAATTTATTTTTTTCATACTTTCTACCTAAAAAAAGTTTATTTTCCCAAAATCAGATTGATCTTTTTTTATTGTGCTTCATTTATATTTCAAGAAGGCGCTTGACTGAACTTCAAGGTGACGCTGTGATTAGAATTCAAAGGAGCGCTTGATTAAAATTTAAGGTGGCACTTGATTGAATTTCAAGGTGGCTTTTGATAAAAATTCAAGGTGGCATTAACTTGATTAAAATGCCAGGTGGCGCTTGATTAAAATTCCAGGTGGCGCTCGACTAAAATTCCAGGTGGCGCGTGACTAAAATTCAAGGTGACGCTTGCATGGCTCTTGATTTAATTTCAAGGTGGAGGTTGATTAAATTTCAAGGTGGCGCTTGATTAAAATTCAAGATGGCACTTCATTAAAATTCGAGGAAACCTTTGATTAAACTTCAAGGTGGCGCTTGATAAAATTCAAAAAGGCTCTGCTCTTGATTAAATTCATGGTGACATCACACTTAATTAAAATATAAGTTGGCTTGCCGCTTGATTAAATTCAAGCTCGCGTTTGTTTAAAATTTAAAGATGGTGCTCATTTAAAATTTCGAGATGACACTTGATTAAAATTTCAAGATAACGCCTGAACCAAAATTCAATAAAATTTAATGATGGCTCTTGTTTAAAATTTCAAGATGGCGCCTGAATCAAAATTCAATAAAATTCAAGATGGCGTTAAATGTTATGGAATATATTGTCTGGTTTCCTGTTCAGAAAGGAAATGATTAAGACGTGGATCAGCTCTCCTGACTTGTTTCAACTCCTCGATTGTAAATTTCTGGTTTTTTGTAAACTCGGATCCGGCCTGGATCAATCTTTCCCCGGCAGGTCCTAAAAACAAAACCGTTAAAAAACACGAAATTAAAGATCAAATAACAAATTGTTAATAAGTGCCATCAACAATTCAAAATGGTATCCTAACGGTATCTATGTATATATATACTATGTATTCAATAAAAGGCATAACGGCAGAACCGATCGGGTCTAAATTTTGTGTGCGACCTCACATGACCCCAAGGAAGGGTTATGCATGCTCGAAATTACAAAAATGTGTATACAAAGTTTTCGAGTTTTGTAAAATTTGAAAAAGGCCAGATAATGGATGATTTTCGTAAATTTTTAACCTGAGGCCGCCTTTTTTTAATTCAAGCAGAAAAATGAACATGAAATTTTCTTTTTCAGATATAAAACCAACATCACTTGTTAGATTAGGTTTTTATCAATCCTCTAAACTGTACTGATGTGAATCGTCAAAGTAACTCTCTAATTAAAAGTGGATTGTTTGTTTCAAAAGTTGTTAATGATTGATAAATAAATATCAGGAGAACATTATTTGAAGAATGTTAATTTTAGAGGAAATTGCGTCAATGTTTTGGCGCAAAAGAATCAAAGAAAGGTAAACAGTTGGATCAGCAACTTGTTCTAGGCTGCACTGGTTCAAATTAATCACAGTGGCAGAAAGTAGTTCAACTTCTCGGGGTTAGTTGAACTACCTCTCACGGGCTCATAAACTTCCATTATAAAAGCCAGTGCTTAGGATTCATTTAATTTTGATCCGCACTGAAAAAAATCAGGTCAGAAACATTTCTTTAAGATTTACTGAATTATTTTAACAAAGCCGAATTGTCAAATTATTTTTATGGTAAAATTTGATGAACCATTTAGAGATCAGGAAATTTTTGTAATCTCTCTTTTTTGAACAGTTCAACAAAATGTTTTTTTTTTTTTTTGCAGTTTTTGGTTGATATTTAGCTTCTTGGATTCGCACATTTTTGCGGATGCGGATCCAGTAAGCCAAAATATTGCGGATCTTAAGCACTGAATTCAAAGCTTCTATTTACCTAGAAACATGCCGGCAAGAAGATCTCCAATTGGTCCGATGGGGAACCCTTTTCTGGTCTGATCTCGCATCCCTAAACTATATGACTGGTGGACGGTCAACACATCGTCCAGAGACAGGAACAGTCGGTCAACCATATCCCGGGGCATTAATCCACTGTCAAGCAGGGGTTTCCTAAATCATGAAAAAGTTGAAATCTAGCATAACAAATACACGAGAATTTGTGGATCACTCCTCTTCTGCACCTCCCCCCCCCCCCCGTGATTATTCTATTCCAAGTGATCGTTTCTTAATAAAAGCTATAATTCTTTAATTTAGGTTCTAATTTAGGTTCTTAATAATCGTAAATAAAATGCACGTTTATTCATACAGGTCCCTTTTAGTTTAATTAAATTTAAAATTCAGTGATGGTGATGGACTAAACCTCTGTAGAGTAAAAAAAGTAGATGTTAGTTCCACATTTATTGAAAATATATTTCGGTCTGGGTTGACCCTCGTCAGTTCTTGAGATTGTTTCTGTCACAAAGATTAAAAACAAACCATTTTAGAAAATAAACGTTACTTCACCTGAACACAGTGTCCAGGATTTTCAGGTTTCTAACATGGTTTCTTTCCGTGTGGAACAGTTCGTTAATGATATCCTGTCTTTTCTGATCCTTCTTAGACATCTTACTCAATACATCCTAGATACAAGATATTAATTATATCCTGTCTTATCCTTAGTATCTTACTCAATACATCCTAGATACAAGATATTAAGTATATCCTGTCTTATCCTTTCTTAGATACAAGATATTAAGTATATCCTGTCTTATCCTTAGTATCTTACTCAATACATCCTAGATACAAGATATTAATTATATCCCGTCTTATCCTTAGTATCTTACTCAATACATCCTAGATACAAGATATTAATTATATCCTGTCTTATCCTTAGTATCTTACTCAATACATCCTAGATACAAGATATTAATTATATCCTGTCTTATCCTTCGTATCGAATCAATGATTTACCATTTTTTTTATTATTTGACATGTGAACCCTGTGGCTGATTCTATTGTTAGTTCACTCAGAAGACACTAATTGGTTTCGTTAAGTGTCAAGGATTAAGTTAATTCTGACCAATCAGAAGCCACAATATCCCTTTCGGCCAAGCAGACATCGCCAAAAAATCAAGCAATTAATTCCTTTAAATTGAAAGTTTCTGCTTTAGAAGTTTAGACCTTACAGTTTACAATAGTTTACATAAGTTATAATTGTAATTAATTAATCATGAGAATCAGTGATTTTATAATGAATAATTTATCAACTTTAGTAAATAGTTATACTTAAAAATCAAATAATCAATTTGAAGATTATTGATTAATTGATTAACAATTAATCAATTAATTAATCTGACCTGTGGAAGTGTGGTTCTCCAGTCTGGAGGATCAAGTTCTGGTTCTAGATCTGAATCTGATCTCAGGAACACCTGAAAAAATATAGAATTCAAGATCAATGGTTCTAAGTTCTAGGTTCTGGGTTCTAGGTTCTTGGTTCAAGGTTCTAGGTTCTAGGTTCTAGGTTCTGGTTTCTAGGTTCTGGGTTCTGGGTTCTGGGTTCTAGGTTCTGGGTTCTGGGTTCTGGGTTCTAGGTTCTAGGTTCTAGGTTCTAGGTTCTAGGTTCTAGGTTCTAGGTTCTAGGTTCTAGGTTCTGGGTTCTAGGTTCTAGGTTCTAGGTTCTAGGTTCTAGGTTCTACATCATTATCATCATTATCATCATTATCATCATTATCATCATTATCATCATTATCATCATTATCATTATCATTCTTTTAGACTTCATGTTATTCTAATTCATTTTATTAGACAATTCAGTTTCTGGAATTCTGATTTATTTAAGGACTGCCTAGCAATCTCCATTGGAATAAAGGGGATAGACCCCCCCGCCCCCCTCCCTCTTAAATTCATTAGAATAAAAAAATTATTTACCAAGGTTAGGGTCGGACAGTTTTCTTGTGTAGGGACGCTGCTGCTGTCTTTTTTGTCTTTCATCCTAAAATGTTGAAATAATGAATTAAAAAAAATATGGTTTAACAAATAGAGGATACTAATTATGTTATAATTATTTAAGATTGATTTTATTTCCTTATTCTAATTCACTGTTCACACGTTTGTGTGAACTCTTTTGCCGTCTCATTAAACCAATATTAAACAAAAAATTTGAGATTTTCTTTCTGATTGATGATTTGTTAAAGAATTTTTGCTCGAAATTCCAAATACAGTGGGAAACATACTTTTCTCCAGTCTTTGGATGTATTTCAAATACCTTTCCCATTTTAAGTTTATTCCCCCTACTTGTAAAATTCTTTTTCGATCCCCCCCCCCCACCCCTTCAATAAAAGAAATTAAANTCGTAACCGAACATCCGGTCCATCAACTTCCGGTCTAATAATATTTATATATTAAAATTTTTGTCCATGCTTTACATTCCAAAGAAAGTACTACCACAGAATTTCTTCTGGAGAGTTTTGGCTCAGGAATATCAACTCTCGTGCATCTGGTACATGATGTACCCGATCAGGGACATGATGTACCCGATCTGGGACACCATGTCCCCTGATTGTTCTGTAGATCTGCATATCCAAAGTCAGAGGCAAAAACCCAGCAAATCAAATTTAAACCTTTTGTTTCCAGGATTATCAGTTATAACTACAAGCATTTGTGTTGATAACTACTAGATCAAATCTCAAGCTTGGGTTTAAAACTTGTAATGAATCAACTTTATCCAAAAAAATTGATAAAACCTATTAATTCCATTATAATGATACCTAGCTCATGACTTCCACCTGCTATTCATAAATGAAAAACAAACCTATTCATGTCACCAAGCTTGATATTCAAAAAACCGACCTCTGATTATAAATGAAAAACTAACCTATTCATGTCACCAAGCTTGATATTCATTAAACCCGACCTCTGATTATAAATGAAAAACTAACCTATTCATGTCACCAAGCTTGATATTTAATAAACCCGACCTCTGATTATAAAGAAAAACTAACCTACTCATGTCACCAAGCTTGATTGCAGCTGAATTTAACAACTGCATTCTCTCACCCTCCAGGTTCATACTTAACCTAGTTTAGTAAACATTTTTAAATAATTAAATTATGAATATATAAATAAATGCATAAATGAAAGGGTGACTGAATAAAAGAATTTAAAATAAATGAATTAATAAATCTAAGAATGAATGAATGAATGAATGAGTGAATACCTGGAAGGTTTAGTTGCTTCATCAGTTTGATCCTCGGATGAAATTGGTTCACTTGTATAACTTCTAAAAATTAAAATATTAAAACTTTTATTTTAAAATTTAAGATAATATAAGTAAAATTAAAAAATGTCGAGAACTCTTTTGGTATTTGTGAGGTTACTTTTTAATACAAATAGTTTCTGTAAAAAAAAACTTTAAAACCATCAACACCAATTTATTGTCCGTTAAATATCCGTTTTTTCAATTTTGGACAAGCGTTGGGTCTTTCAGATTAGATTATAATCAAGGAGAATGGAATAAAAGAGAGATACAACTCACGCGGTCCGCCCTACCATATGATTATACATGCTTTGCAGACGGTACTTCATTTGTATACGAAATATTTGACTAATGTACAATTACCGCGTATACAATAAACTATATTGGTTTAGTTCGCCCCTGTATAGTATACTAGCTTGGGAACCGTATGTTGCTCCCGCCGTTTACCCGCACTTTGACGAGTTTTAGAGGGAAGCTAAATTTTCGCTTTTTTCGACCTTCTCAACTTAGACTCTAAAAACCAAGCTAAGAACATTCCCGAGTGCCCCAGTCAAAATTTGAGGAAAATAGGTCCAGGAGTTCCTGAGTTAGGATCGAACAAACAAACAGACAAACAGAGATTACAACTTTCTAACAAATATATACTAGCTTGGGAACCCAGCGCTGCCAAGGTTACTAAAAGTTACTCCCGCCGTTTACCCACACTGGAACGATTTTACCGGGAAACTAAATTTTCGCTATTAATGTCGACCCACTCAACTTAGAATCTCAAAACTAAGCTAAGAACATTCCCGTGGTACTCCCAAGTTCCCCAATCAAAATTTGCGACAAATAGGTCCAGGGGTTCCCGAATTATGATCAGACAAACAAACAGACAGAGATTAAAACTTTATATATATATATAGATAATACTATACACTATAACTTCGTTAATGGTATACAGGTAAGATACTGGGCCACTAAAAAATTGAGTTGTAAAGAGACTTTTCACTAGTTAGACCTGAATGATGCTGCAGCAGGGAGATCTCCAGCTCCACGGAAACTTGCACCCGGAGATATAGAACTCATCTTCCTACCTCCAGGATCCACCTGGAGCTGATCCTAGGTAGGTAGGTAGGTAGGTAGGTAGGTAGGTAGGTAGGTAGGTAGGTAGGTTGGAAGGTTGGAAGGTAGGAAGCTAGGTAGGTAGGTAGGTATATGTGTAAGTAGATAGGTAGGTAGGTATGTATATGTGTAAGTAGATAGGTAGGTCAGCAGTCATTAAAATAGAATTTTTAATTGGAAACAGAAAATAGAAATAAATTTATGATTCTACTACCTTAGAAGATATAAGTTTACTAGGGAAACCCAGATTAAGAAGAGAAGTTCGTTTTCTTTTGTCTTTATCCTTAGTTGGTCCCACACATGCCTCCTCAACCTAACATTAATATTGTATATCTTTATCCTTAGTTGGTCCCACACATGCCTCCTCAACCTAACATTAATATTGTATATCAAATCAAATCACAGCGAGACTCGTAAAACTGTTTTTTTAAGTTGTTATGAAAAAAAATAATAAGTGTACACTGAACAATTTCGAAGTTTCATGTCCATAACACTTATTAAGATCACAAAATGAGTTCAAGGGTCGTCTTCCTCTTCCACAGCCTATATGGATGGATTTCTATTCTTCAAATCAAATCACCCGCCGTTTACCCGCGCTTGGTCGTAAATTACTATTTTAGGTACTATAAACTCTACCTCATAAAACCTTTCCGTGGTTCTCCCGAGTTCCCCAATCAAAATTTTAAGCAAATTAGTCCAGGGGTTCCTGAGTTATGATCGGACAAACAAACAGAGATTACAACTTTATGTAAATAGATTTGAACAGTAAAGCTTTTATCTCACAAACGTCAAATCCGACAGGGTCCAAATTTCTGGAATTTCTAGGTCCGGTCAAGATATGAGAATTCGCTAGTCATAAACGGAAAATCAGCGACATTTTTTACAACAAAAAGCTAAGATTTTTAGTAGAAAAAGGGGCGTCCTGGAAGCCTAGATCAAGTACGTAACAGTCCCTACAGTACATAAATTAAACATGTACCTGGTGCACAATCTTCTTATGTACATCGTAATCACAGTTCTGACATCTATACCCCTGGGGGGCAATACCCCAGATTATCTCCTGACTCTGGATACAGTAGGTTACCTAGGAAATCAATCAACTTATCATTCAAGCATTTATTCGATCAATCAATCAATCAATTACTGATAAATATAAATCTTATCAATCAAAAAACATTATTAACGCTAAATTGATCGTCAACCAATCAATATCAATAATCGATATATCAAAGACAATTATTGCCCGTGTGGATTTTTTTTATTTTGAAAAAAAAGCAACATATTTATATACAAATGTCTTTATTATATAGATAATAAAATAAAAGTATAAAATGAAGGTTTAAAACATTAATTAAAACAGACTTAACAGACAGACTTAATCGATAAGTCAAAAAAAAATCGATATAAAAATATTTGTGTATATGAAAATAAATACTTCTATGTGAAGAACGGATAAAAAATGGAAGAAATTAAGCAATAAGCATTTCATAAATAAACACATATGTTCAGGTATAATTACAAACCCAATAACCATCATAAGTAAATTAACGTAGATTTAACTAGTAAGTAAATATTAAATTAGTAAATGAATAAGAGAATAAATTAACGTAGATTTAACTAATAAGTAAATATTAAATTAGTAAATGAATAAGAGAATAAATTAACGTAGATTTAACTAATAAATAAATATTAAATTAGTAAATGAATAAGAGAATAAATTAACGTAGATTTAACTAGTAAGTAAATATTAAATTAGTAAATGAATAAGAGAATAAATTATCGTAGATTTAACTAGTAAGTAAATATTAAATTAGTAAATGAATAAGAGAATAAATTATCGACCTGATCGTATTGCCTAAGAACAAAATTATGTCCCTTGACTGTTAAATCCTTTTTCCTCAAACCAAAATATTTATCTCGTTTCTTCTCCTGACAAACAAACACACTTTTTGTTAAAATTGATATTTTTGAACTTTTAAGACGCCCCTTACACGATCAATTGGAATGGTATCATTTTAAAGGGAGTGACCGGCTATGTAAGGTAGTTGATTCTGAAAACGTATCCATCCCCAAAGTAGGAGTTTTGAACGTCGAATGTTCGCTCAAACTCAGGATTTACAGATCTTAAAAAAGTTTAATATGTCTCAAATGAATCCGAAAGAAGTTTTCCACAACAATGCATACTCAGTTCAACTACCTTATATAGGCGGTTACTCCCTTTAAATGTTTTCCATGTTGACAGTTATGAGAATTGGCTGCTAAGCAAGTTCAGTGATTTTCAGAAATTTTCAAAAACTTGTTTATTAATTCTTAAACATTGGAAAACAAGGGCGTAGTACAGAAAATGAAAGACAACCATAACTGTGACAGGGTGTGTGCAGACGTGTGAGCTTTGACCATCATCTATTTAATTTAAATATATTGTTAAAAACTAAAATTTAAAAAACAAAATAAAATTTTTTTAAAAATTTAGTAATTTTGGCAGATGTTTTAAATTATCATTTAAATTTTAAAAAATCGGTTTTCTTTAAGAATTCAGCATAACTTTGATCCGGGTCCAGTTATTTAAAAATAAAAATTTAATTTAAATTTTTTCTGAAAGTTTTGTTTTCCTTGGAAACAAAGGTTGGAATCTTCTCTATAGTGCTCAGTGCCTGTGTATTCCGTATCTAGACATAATAAAAAATTACTCAGATAATCAAAAATAATTATATCTATAAAAATAATTAACATTATCAAAAATAATCCAGAAAAGAATCTAAAAAGATAAAATAATATAAAATTATCCAGAAATGATAAAAATAATCAACAATAATAATCATAATCAAAATAATGAAATAAGAGAATAATATAATAATAATAAAAAAAATTAAGTTTAGTTTAATTTCTTTACCTGGAAAGTTTTTAGAAGAAGAGTAGCCAGAGAAGAGCAGAGAGTAGCATTTCTAAAAATATATTATTAATCAGAGCTAGAAACTTTTAAATCCACGAAATCTAAATCGATTCCCCACATTTTTCATTTAAGAATCTCTCATCTATTAAGTTCAGAGATCGGACCAAAAAGAGATCAGGGATTTTCAAATTCAGTCAATGAGCATTCATTAAATTAGCTTAAACATTTCGATATTTCAAATCTCGGTTTAACTCCTTCAATCAAAAGTTAAACATGGACATCTGATTCATACTTTTAAATCGGACATGGAGGGTCACATGAAGTTACGCATACAGTCCCTTTAAAACAAATTTTTTATCACTAAATTTCAGGTTCAGAAAAATTAAATATTTACTTGTCAGTTGCGCTCTCGAAATCATCTGCCATTGTATCAAAGAGGGGAAGAAGAGTGTCTTCTATAATCTGATTTCTTTTTAAAGGATTCTCCTCAGCTGCCCTTAACTCATGCTCAGGGGGGCCATAGATGTTTCCCATTCCTAAATAGAATAATCTTGCATTTTGACCTTAACTTTGAAGTCAACCTTGACCTTGAACTTGAACTCAACCTTGACCTTGACCTTAACCTTGACCCCATCTTAACCATAGATGTTTCCCATTCCTTGATAAAATGATCTTACATCTTGACCTTGACCTTGACCTCAACCTTGACTTCACCTTGACCAATGACCATAGATGTTTCCCATTCCTTAATAAAATTATCTTACACCTTGACCACACTCTCAACAATGACCTTGACCATGACTTCCATGTTGCCAAGCCTCGATTTTGATGCCATTCTTGACCTTGAACTTGACCTTGACCTTTACTTCAAACTTGACTATGAACTTAACCTTTAACTTTGACTTAACCTTAACTTTGACCTTGATCTTGAGCTTCTCTTGACCCCGACCTTAACTTAACCCCCACCTCAACCTTCACAAGTACAACCTAACTCTTACCTGCTGAGCGTTTGGCCCTAAAATCGTCCAACTGGATTTTAAGAACATCGCGCGCTTTTTGCCGCACTTTCCAGAACATTTTTCGTAAACTCTCTTCACGCTCCTGAACAACAATTTTATTAAAATTATTTTTTCATTATAATTTGTTTCACACTAGCAAAAAAAGTTCTGATAGTTCATAATAGCGTGTTGGAAACAGCTGTTATAATATTTTGGCCAGGTTTCTTTCGACTTAAAAAAAATTAAATTGGTCAATGAAGTAATAAATTATTTTAATATTACATATTTCCCTCAAAAAATATCAATCAATCAATCCATCCATTACCTGTTCTTCGGCTAGAAAAGTGTCAATGCTCTGGATTATCTGAAATAATTTTAGTTTAAAAACTTATCAACAGCGCTAGAGGTGGTAAAACTTTAACAGAGCTGGAAACTGTTAGATACTCAAAATCCATATCACTTGATCTCAATATCCGAAGTGGACACTTTATATTGAGGATCAATGCTTAAAGTCTCTTCATTTCACAATCCTTTATCTATCTATAAATTTGGCTTGTCTGTCTGTTTGTTTGTTTGTTTGTCTGTCTGTTCGTATCCAATAAACGTCAAAACGGCTGAACCGATCGGGCCCAAATTTTTTCTGGGACATCTAGGGACTAGGGACTAGCGAATTATTTTTGTTTTGTTTTACGATGTACACAAAGAGAACATGTTCACAATTAATTTAGAAGACGGGCGCGAAGCGCCCTCTAAGGCTAGTGGGTAATATTACATAATTCGCGGATTTTCACAAAAAATTTCGCGGATTTTCAAAATTTTCAAAAATTTAATTTGAAATTTTGATCATTTATAAACCTTCCCTGGGGTCCCTAGATGTCCCACAAAAAATTTGGGCCCGATCGGTTCAGCCGTTTTGACGTTTATTGGATACAAACAAACAGACAAACAAACAGACAGACAAACAGACAGACAAGCCAAATTTATATATAGATGGGATATCAAATAAATGAGTCTGTAAATCAATAAAAGATCTAGATCAAGCATTGATCTCGATATCAACAATACAAGAGTTCCAGCTCTGATCGCGTCTGTAAATATTGAAATCTTAAAAGACAGATGGATAGGATAAACATGGCGATGAAAGGCAGAAACAAATGTTGACATTTGAAATCTTTAAAAATATTTATCAGGAATAAGGGATTCATAGTAAACCCAATTCTGCAGACCATAAAATGTCATCAACAGACGGACATACAAGATAGATTATTGACAAAGACAGACACTTTGTTGACTTTAAGATAGACAGGATGGACATTGAACAAGAGACTGACAGAAAGACAGGATAGATTATTAACAAAGATAGACAGAGATTAATAGGCAAATAGACACAAAAAGGAATATAAAAAAGTTTTAAAAATATCCCTAATTATGTGAAAAGAAAGAACATTTACCTATGTTATTCAATTGATCTCAGAGATAATAAAAAGATAGAATAGAAATAAGATAGATAACATATCACTACATAGATAAAAAGATAGAGAGAGAGGAATATGATATGTAGAAAACAAGGGCGTATACAGAAATAATTCTAGCATGGGGGGGGGGGGGGGGGGGAAATTTTTTCGCCCCCCCTAGGAGCTCCCTGAGGACAGACAGACAGACAGATAATCCTACAAACTAAAATACAAATAGATAAATATAACGGTAGATAGATATGTAGATGGATAGTATAGACTATAGATGGATATATAGATAGATAGATAGATAGATCAGACAAACTGAAAGACAGATAGATAAATATAACGGTAGATAGATATATAGATGGATGGTATAGACTATAAAGTATAGATAGATAGATACATATAAGAGAGATAGATAGTTACCTTTGGATCAATATTCTGTAGTTCTAGTGGGGATCTGGGAACCAGGAAGCAAGAGTGTATCTCGTAAGCCCATTTCCGCATTTCCTTTGTAGTACCCTAGCATAGTAATTAAAATAATTTATGTATGTTGCAGTTCTGACCAATAATTATTTATTTTGGAAATATTACAAAACAAATCAAAGTTAAGCGTTTCGGTGGAAAATAATAAAAAACCTCCAAAAATAAAGGTTGTGGGAATGTTTCCAACTCAATTCTAAAAAATATAGGAAAGTTACATATTTATTGTTGTATTACATTCATTGTATTGTTTACATTACATTCAATATAACTGGTGGTGAATTGTTAGTTTCAAAAATTAAATAATTTATGTTGAAGCAATGAAGCAATACACGAATGGATGATTTTGGGATGCGATATGCTAGAATATCTACACTTGGAATATGTCTTATATTGCTTAAGTTCTATCATTTTCTAATCAAGGTTTTATCAAATCAATCCTGAGTTCTGATATGGAAATTACTAAGAACCTAATATAAAAGTTAATGCAATGGATAAACACTAATCCATTCTAAAGTTTTGCCCTCACGATGCACGGCTAAAATTGGCAACCTACAATTAAAGCTATTTTGTCTTTTTAACTTTAAATTGACGCAAAGAATCGAAGAAATTGCGTACGTACCTGTTTGTACGCATCTGTGATCAGGTAAAAGAATAGAGGAGCAGGGTCTGCAGCATTGGATAGGATATAGTTCAAGAATACAGCTAGATGAGCTCCCTGCTGTAGTAAATCCTAAAAAGTATTTTGTTCAGAACTTTTAAAAAATCTACACAACAACTGGACAATCAAGAAAAGTTCAACAAAGAGAAAAATGCCATAATTTTGTCTAAATTTTTGACAGCATTTAGAGAAAAAAAAAAACCTATGCTTCATGTAACTCTGTGCAAAATATTTCAATGTTTCTAAGTTTAATTAAATTGAATTAAAGATAAAAGATTAAATACCTTAAGAGTACAGAAAGTTCATGAATTAATTTACAATTAATCAGACTACTTTACAATACAATTGTACAAATATGATTGATGAAATGTTAATTACTAAACAGCTCTAATCCTGCCATTTCCAAAATGTGGTCTGTCTTTATTGAGCATTTAAAAATGGCCGAGATGTATACATTAAGTCACCTGATTAACTGTCACTTAATTCCGGGTTATATATTTTAATTTTTGTTCCGTGAAAGATTTGAAAAATAAATGTTGGGTTGTCAAATGGAGTTTCTAAATTATTAAAATAATATTACCGGAAGACTATTAAAGGGTCCATGATCTCCTTCCGGTGGAAGTACAGGTTTCATGTCATCATCATCATCACTGTCATCCTAAAACATATCATAATCATACAAATCATATCATACAGCTATGGCTCGCTGACCCTTTTTGGTGTTCAAAATTTTTAGAATAATTAAAATATTGTATCATACAGAACCAAATCGTCATCATCATCATCACTATCATCCTAAAACATTCATCATCATCATCATCATCATCTTACTGATAGAAATCATCATCAATATCATACTGAAACAAATCATCATCATCAATATCATCCTGAAACATACTATCATCATCATCACTATCATACTGAAACATATCATCATAATTATCATCACTATCATCATCAAACAAGACTTTTATGGAAGTCCTACTTCCACAATACCATTTCGAAGTGAATATACTATCATCATCATAATCATCATAATCATCAATATCATACATCATCACCAATAATATCATCACTTTTATGCTATTTTCATTTTCATCATCAACTAATCATAATCAGTTATCAACCTTGAGTAAATTTCATCATTCCTTTAAAAACTAAGAAAACATTATATTATCAAAATTTCACAGATTTTTCTATTTTCTTTAGGAAATTTTTAAAAAAATATTTAATATTTTATGCAAAATTTGATAAATTCAACTGGCTTTATGCGTGATCCTACAAAAATTGATTGAAAACAAACCTTTAGATTGCATCGCACAAAACTTAAACGAATATTAAAAGTTAAAATATAGGATGGGGGCGAAGAATAATTGGAATCTTAAAACCTTAAATAATTGTCATAATAATTGTTTCTGTTGAATCTAAATCTAACACTAACAGCTAGAAAAACGACAATAGATGAAAGGTACTGTTGTGAATCATACAGGCTTGCCCCTTTCTAACTGGGGGGTGTAGAAGAAAAATGAAAATGTAAAAATGTTAAATTGTGAAAATTTAAAAATTACCATTGTCATAATATTAGTTCCTGTGAGACCGCCCCATGTGAGAAGATGAGCAGGATCCTGCCCAGGGTTATAGGGAGGAGGTGGAGTCCCTGGTGGAGTCTCATACCTAGGAGATCTACTCCCTCCTCCTCCTACACCATCTACACCTCCTGGATACCGGCCTAACTCTGCAACAACAAGTTACAGATATATTTAAGAATCTATGTATATATATATTTAACAGTTGGTATCTATGTTTGATTGTGACTCATGAACCCTTTGACCGATTTGCCTCAAAATTTTATTAGGAAACTCCGGAAAGTTAAGGGAATGTTCTTAGTTTGGTTTTGAGATTATAATTTGAGTGGACCCACTTTTTTACGACCAAGCGGGTAAACGGCGGGAGTAACTATGAGTACCCTGGGCAACGCTGGGTTCTCAAGCTAGTTTAAGAATAAGGGAGGGAAATCATTTTAAAGATCTGGAGAAAAATAGTTACATACTAGACATTAAAAGGTAAGTTTTTTTCAGCCTTTTGGATACTTTTTACACAAAATTTAATTTAAATACACCTAAATATCATTTATTTTCCCCACTTTACACGAATTTTAAACAAATGAATAAACGAATAAACGAGGAAAAGGACTAAAGAACTAAAGGACTAACGGAAAAGGAATAAAGGAAAAGGACTAAAGGACTAAAAGACTAAAGGACTAAAGGACTAAAGGAAAAGGACTAAAGGACTAAAGGACTAAAGGACTAAAATAAGGTAGGGTTCAGGGCGTTAAAACCCGAATTATGTAAAATAAATCTAAAATAGCCCATAACTTTTTTATGACTAAAGCTACAGTTCTAAAAACTATAAATTGAAAAGCCCTTGAAAAATGAGTGAAGAAACATGTGTCACACTTTGATATATGTTTTAAACAAAAAATATTTTTTCGACCTTTTTATTGCATTTTTTTTACCCTCCCTAGCACTATAAAAGTTAGCGATCTAATTTTATTTCAATGAGCTGGCCTTGAAAAATTTGGCTATGGACATGAATTTAAACCTTATACCTATTCGCTAAGGCCTTTTCTAAGGGGGGGGGGGCGAAATACGCTCTTAAATGTTGCATTCTTTTTGGTATTTTGAAAAAACTCATTTTTACAAGAAGACTTGTTTTGGGACTTTTCCACGATGCAATATTTAGTCATATACTTTTATTAAAATAAACAAACAACTGAACTTGAATGTACTGCAGTATACAATTTCCTGAATCCACATTAGGTGTCTATCTAAATATCAATACTAATATTCAAATATCTACATAAAACCACCCCTTAGAAATACGATCACTCTATGTACAAGTGTACAGCGTTAGATACGTAAACATATCGTGATGTACACAACCGAACACTATTAATTAATTAATAGGGAGGTCGGTTGTGTACATCTGAGCTAAGCTTTACCTCTTCGTTTTATTACTCTATGAATTAATCCATCAACTGTTCTGATCATTAAACCAGTCAATCAATCAATCAACTCGTCAATTGAAGATTAATCAGTCAACTAATCAATAAATCAACTGACCACTCAATCAATAAATCAAACTTTTTGATCAATAAATCAATAAATGAGGTGAGCAATCAATCAAGTACCTGTAATGCTGGCTGTAGGTGATCTACAAGCTTCCATCTCCACTCCTTCATACCCAACCCTGTACATATTTCACTATTATTCGATACAATTAATTAAAGTTCTTCGCGCATTTATATATTTATAACTATGTTCGGTATGGTTGGTCCAATGGCTGGACCAAGCGGTCTGGAATTTGATCAAGGAAATGCATGGGTATTGGGTACCCCGGGGGGGTGATGGATCTACACCAGGACAATTAAATCCATAGTTCAAGGGGAAGGTCGGAGTTATAAAAATTGAAAATCAATTTAATAAACCATTGTGTACTTTATTATTCTTACCCTCTTCGTGGTGAATTTTATTATGAACGTGCTATAGAGTAATCATCGTGATATTAAAAATATAAAATTGAAAGCAACCTTTATTTTCTAGAAATAGCAATTGCAATAAGACAAGTACACAAACGTTTCATAAAATTCTAAAAGGGCTTGAACCTTCCCGAGAATAAATTTCTGTCTAAAACTTGTTAACAATGCAAACCAAAATAATAATATTATAAATAGTTATTTTAACGCTTGTTTAAATGAACAAAATTAAATACAAGGGTAAATAAAATTTATATTTACAAAACTTGACAATTGAAGTCAAATATTCTTATTTTTTTTTCAATTCTCTGAAAATCATTTCCCCCCCCCTTTTCCCAAGTACGGGGGGGTTATCTAGAAAATACATTAAGAGAGGGAGGGGGAGGGGGGGGGGTAAAATAAAGAAGGGAGGATCAAATTATGATTGTTCCTTGGACTGAAGCTCGGTCACTTTTCTATCTGACAATATTTTCAAGTTTCGTAGCTTCTTAGAGTTAGACCTAGGAAGATACAATGAGAACCAGAAAACTGGTGGAATGAATGTCGTCGTTGTTCCGTATTTTGTAATATGCAACTGATATTTCTCTAAAAATGATCTGGGCTATTTTTAGAAGTATTTCAGTAAAAAGTTACGAAATACTTGGCATCATTTCATAATTAAAAAGAAAAAAGAATTAATAAGAATTCCGCAATTTTCTTTTATTGAGGACATTCCTTTCAACATTACAGTGGTCGACCACATGACGTCTCTTAATTGTGGTCGTACTGTGGTCGTATGAATTATCTATCATACAGCAGTCGATGACATGACGTCTCTTAATTATGGTCGTACTGTGGTCGTATTAATTACGACCTCCAAAGTACGACCATTGTTCATACATTATTAGGGAGAGAACGGGCTCTGTAGTTAGAATGAGATATTATTAAAAATACAAATAACATTGTTGAAAGATCTTTATTACCCCGGTTCAGTTTTCCGTGGTAAAAAAAATAATATCAAAGGAAAATCCTGTAACAAGCAAGTATGATTTCTGATACCTAGCATAGTATGTATTCTGGGACTCCCTGTACCTGGCTAACTGGGACTTGATCTTCTCGTTCTCCCTGATCTCCTCCTCTAGCATGAGCTGAAGGGTGGTGAGGGAACTACTCTGGGTTCTCAGCAGGATAGCTTCACTAGCAGGCACAGGACCTGAATAGCAAATGAAACGAAGTTTTATTTTATAACAATAAAAAATATATCAACTTATTAATGAAGTTGTCGATCTATATCAATTATCAACTTATCAATCGATTAATAAACCAGTCTGGTAAAAATAAATAAATAAATCAACTGATAAATTAATCCATAGAGTAATAAAACGAAGAGGTAAAGCTTAGCTCAGATGAACACAACCGACCTCCCTATTAATTAATTAATAGAGTGGTCGGTTGTGTACATCACGATATGTTTACGTACCTAACACTGTACACTTGTATATAGAGTGATCGTATTTCTAAGGGGGGTTTAATGGTATTGACCAATTTTTAGATTTTCTTTCTTTATTTTAAGAGAATTCGATGATGTTGACTGCAAACATTTGACAATTTTCCAATTTGTAGGTTTTTAATTTATTAGCTAAAAATATTAAGTTTCTAGGACATTGAATTTAACTTAAAACATTCTTATTCCAGACATTTTTAACTGTTTCTTCTCTTCAACTCTTTATCATAAACATTACAGTGTATGCAGGGTTACCCACAAAGGATGAAACAACGATGACGACTTGGAGCTCTTAACCCTAAACAGGCTGGGGGGGGGATTGGACACTTCAGCTAAAATGATTTAATACCAAGTGCGGGTAAAAGGCAAGGGTGCTATGACTATGAATAATGATTTAAATCTGGGGACTTCAGCTAGTATTAAATAAATTAAAAACACACTAACAGGGCAGGGCACCCTCGGGGTCAATGTAAGATCTCTGGATCTTTTCCTAATTCTCAATGTTCAGGTTGAATCCAGAAGTTGTGGTCTGAAGAAGCACATGAAGATCTACTCTTTCTAATTCTAAACTTGATCCTCTTATATACATATATATTCTACTCTTATTTTAACTAAAGTCTTATTTAAAAAGCTAAACTGAATTTTATATAATCTCTACAGTGCCCATGTAAACAATTATGGCCTATATCTTTTTATTTTTAAGCTTAAAACGCTTTTTTATGTTCTGATGATATTAAATATATAGAAAAAATTTTGACCAATAAACCTTTTTAAATGGTCTATATATTTCAGACCACAATGGGCTAGGATAAATGCGTTATCCTGTCTTAGTACTCCAGGTTGTGCAATACTAGGTTTATAAAACATCTTATTTAAATGTAAATGTAAACACTGCCTAAACTATTCTCCGGATTTAAACTCTTTAAAACTTATGGATGTTCTATAAGGTGAATCCAGATCGTTCTTGTATTCCACCGCCTGACCTGAACTATACACTAATGAATTAACAGGTGGAAATACGTTCTTAAATAACTTTGAACTTATCCGAGACTGATTACTCCCTTATCTCTCACCTCCTACTCGGAGAAGTCCCGTCGGAAGCATCTCCTCTGTTTCTCTAAACCGGGACTGCTGACTTTGAGCAGATAAATGTGAAGAATAAATATGAAACTGTTCCCGGGATTGAGATCTAATGTCTAACTTAACCTTATTTAGATCCAATCATCATCTTCACTACCTACTAATTGGAGAAGTCCCGTCGGAAGCATCTCCTCTGCTTCTCTAAACCGGGACTGCTGCTACTAAGCAGATAAAGGTATATAATCGAGTTTCGCGTAATCTTTGTGAACAATTAACGACGAAAATGTGACTATCTCCTTTATAACATGATAAGCCTTCATATAAACTCATCTTATTATTTCTAGTTATGTAAAAGAGACAGCTGGTAAAGATCATCCAACTTTAGAGCTATTTAGTTCTCCGGTCTAATCAACTTTGTAAGTGTTAATTTGATTCATGTATATTGTTGCAATTTATCCACATTTAGCACTTTATAAGTGTTACTTCAATTCATTTATGTTGTTACAACTTACTCATATTTAGCACACCAGGAGCAAATTTTAATGTAAACTTGGCTAATTTTATACATATAAATCATTTTAATAATAATTTTATATTTATCGAACCCGTGACTGATGTATTGTTTTTCAGCATCGCTATACCAGATATAATGAATATAGGAGACTCATGTGTATTAAAGAGGTGCGCACGGAGAAATGATGTTGCCCCATCATGTTAGTAGCTGAATAATACCTATGAACCTAGGTATCGTATTCTGGGAATATGCTAAAATTCCCTAAACGGGCACAGTCCAGCGCATGAACATATTACAAAATTATCAGAAAATTAACGAATATTGAGAAATTGTTGGAAAATTAATGAAAAAATATTTTGGCAAATGGACGAAGTTTTAAGAGGGGGGGGGGCATAATTTTTTACGGGGGACATAATTATTTAAGGGGGGGCATAATTTTTTATGTCTACCTCGCTTCTGGAATAATCCTTGAAGTATGAACGACAGTTAGCGCAACATAGGATCCACCCTAAACAGACCAATTTCAAGTTTAAAGTTTAAGCAGTTGAGATCCAGATCTGCAAAACTATGTGAATCTCCATGGACCGGATAAATAAAATAAAATTTTAACCAAAATCTATTTTTAAATAAACTTTTTTTCCCTCAATACACAAATCTCAACTGAATAACGAAAATTTGGTAAAAAAAGATAAGAAAGTATGTATTAAAATTTAAATGTAAATTTTGGATTCAAAAGTTTGGCAAATATTTTATTTGAATTTTGATTTTTTTTTTTTTTTAATATTCGTTGTAAGCTTTACAAAGTTGGAAGTTTATTTTTTGTGGGAGTATCTCCCCCTGGTATTCTTGTGATGATAATAAATAAGACACTGTTGATAAGAGAAGAAGAACAGGGTTTTAACAGAAATGTTTTAATCAAGCAAACAAAACAACTTAACAAAAAGATACCTTTTTTATCAGGACAAGGGGGGGGGGGGATTTAGTCGAAATTGTGTATTTTTTAAAGTTGTTAAGTACCTGGATCAGCTTAACAACCTCAATATGATCAGAATCTGTTACTTGTTGTCCATTCACCTGAACAATTCATTCGTTTGTTAATTAGCTAGTTTATTCCGTTAATTTCTTCAGAAAATTAAACGACTACTTTTGTTCGTTTGTTCGCTCGTTCGTTAATTGGTTGGTTAGTTCGTTCCTTGCATTTGTTCGTTTGTTTGCTAGTTCGATCATCCATTAATTTGTTCATTCATTCATTTATTCATTATTTCATCCATTCATTCATTCATTCATTAATTCATTCATTGGTTGGTTCGTTATGTTAGTTCATTCATTTATTTTAATCTTTAGTTCATTAGTTAGTCTTAAGTTAGTTAATTGTTTTTACACAATTCATGAATTCCTTAATTGTACGTTTTTTATCTTTCGTCCTTTTTCCTTTATTTCTGATTTGTTTTTTTTCTTTTGTTTTTTACTTACCTTTTTTTCGTATTTTAGGTTTTCTTTAATTAAATTTGAATTCCTTTGTTCATTCAGTTTATTTTTTTAGATAGATAAACATTTATTTAGTTTTTTCATTAATAAATGCTCAAAGCACATGCTATTGATCAAATTCACTATTTTGATCAAATTATAGACGAAAGAAATATCAGTTTGGAATGATTAGTATCAAAGATTTTTTTTATCATAATCTTTAGAAGTGTCAATATTCAAATCCCACTTCCTTAGTGCCAGGCAAGGTACTAATGCAAGAAAAGTTAATTGCAGTCGCGTATACTCTGCGTAAATATTGAAACCAGTTCTCTCTGGGCGGACTTTGTAAACAAGAATAGATGCATCAGTGTTTGTTTAGTATCCGAGGATGATAAAAACATTTAATTTTGATAATTTTGAAAATTCACATAATAGTTTCCTATGACCAGAACATTTCATAGATAAATTTTGTGAAAATGGATTCCAGGTCAGGCTGTAAGGATGTCTTGTGTTTAATTTTCCGCCCAAAGACAGTACACTGCAGTACAAAACATGTGTACACCTCTGAAATAACTTTCCTTGCATTAGTACCTTGGTGCCAGGGGTATAACAAAAGAATTTTTGATGATCTGAGAAGAAAAAATGGAAAATTGGAACTCAAAATGCAAGTATTTCTTTTCCTTTTTGATACAATTAAATTTTTTTTCCTCCATAAATCATTTATTTCCACAATTCCGCAATAAACCTTTACACATAAATGTTCCATCCCGCGTAAGCNATAAAACATACAAGTGGTATTTACCTTAAGAATAACATCCCCCTCTCGCACTCCTGACCTGTGACTCGCTCCATTGATTCTAAAAACAAATACATTGATCATTAATAATAAAACAAAATAAAACTTTTAAAGGGACTGTAAGCGTTATTTGAAATGATTCTTCATGCAAAGATGTCAATGCCTGGTTCATAACATTAACCTCTTTAAACCTTTTTCCGTTAAAAATGTGGAAGATATGTATTGACGTTTTATAAGGTTTTTAAGTATTAATTTCTGACAATTCCTATATGTTTTCTGAAGTAGAGATGCGCAAGTTAGTTTTGTTGAGAAATCACAATTGAACATAATCAGATTTCCAAATTATTGACATTAATATCTCATCCATTTTGACCAGACAGAGCATTCAAGGGTATTGTTGGGAATTGTAAATTACCATCTTTATATGGAAGAATGAGATCACTTGAAATGAAGCTTACAGTCACTTTAAAAATACGTTGATCATTAGTATTAAAACAACAATAACATTTTTTCCAAAAATTCCGACCGAAACTTAAGGAAAAATAAAAACAATTCTTAATATATATATATTTATAAATGTGTAAATATAACACGAATTTCTTTAAGATAAGCATAATATAAACATGAAATTTATTCCTTTATACTGTTTGCTTAACCCTATTCCTGCTGGT